CTAGCTTGATTCGCGTAAGGGTGTCTAGGGCCCGAGGTCCTATACGAGATCGGACTTAGTTGTCTAGAAGGTCTGGAAGGTCTAGAACTAAATCAAACTAGCTTTCGCGTTAGTATAGCGTATCGTTAGGGGTAAGGTACTGTAGCGCGTCTAGCGGTAACCCTTCGAAGCTAGATAATGCGTAGCCGTAGCCGTCGGTAATCTAAGACATGATAACTTTAGTAAACCAGTATAACTTAGGGAAGATAATAAGGAACTCACTAGTTATTCTGTAGAAGTTACGGGGTCTTCTTGGGGTATCTGTTTATCCCTATTCCATAATACTTAAATTGATATATCAACTTTTATAAAGCCCTATCTATATCTGATTCGCTAGTATAGTGGATCACTATAGAAACGAACCTTAATAAACCTCAACGAACCTCAATAAACCTCAACGAACCTCAATAAACCTTAACGAACCTCAATAAACCTCAACGAACCTCAATAAACCTCAATAAACCTTAACGAACCTCAACGAACCTCAATGAACCTTAACGAACCTCAACGAGAACCTCAATGTAGGAAAAATAGAATGTCTAAGTCTAACAATTGGGACATTTAATCCGGATTCACGGTATATCTAGACTAATTAATATGAATTCTAAAAGACAAAGTAATAGAAGAAGATATAATGGTTTAAATGATATTAAAATAAGGGGAATTAAACTGCATCTTTATAGTTTTCTTAAAGAACTATAGTTCTACTAATAAAGATACACATACTTTATAGTGTCTACGATATATATATCTACAACTTTACATGCTATTTTATCGATAACCTCTATTGACCACCTACCACGTCGATATCATCGGATATTACCTATAATTTATAGGTGACCACGCCTCCTATTTACTTTTCAATGACTATATCTTTATAATTCATTATATTGATAGAGTATTCAGTGGAAAGTCTATAGTTTAACGGAACAGCTGTAAAAAACAGAGATGAATCATCAATTTTATCCAGCCAAAAGAGGAAAGGCGTCAAGAAATTATGTATATGCAGGTTCATGCGGGTCGATGGAGGTTGAACCTCAAAGAACCTCTGGAGGTTAATGGGCGGTTGGAGGTTAGTAAGGTTGGAACCTCACCTCAAGAGGTGAGGTTCGAGGTTCCGGGGTAGGGACCCATGCGGAGGTTCAAAGCCAGGTCTAATCTTGATTTCTTGGTATTGACTGACTTGTTGATGTAGGTGATGAGTGCGGGACAATTCGTGCCACCTCGCTCGGGATTAAGGCCGTTGGGAGGGTTATAGCACCATCACAGTAAATCGATCTCGAATAGTGCATAATTTGTGGATGACTTGAGCCGCAACTTCCAAATAAAAAAGGGCCGGGAGCTAGACGCGTCTCGAAGAAATGCCTATTTCTCTCTGGACGGACGACAGTCTTCATCAGAGGGCCATGATGACCCATCAGAGGTACCTCGTCCTTTTAAATTCTAGAGTATACCGTCATCTGCAGTCCCGAGTGTCGATTTCTCCGACCCTCTGATTCCGTTTGTCGGTGGTCGTAGGACGCCAGATACTCGGTATAAGAACAGTCGTTCGTATTTTGGAAACCCCAGATCAATCGTCAGTGATCAGTATTAAGCTAGTCGGAATAAATAGCGAAGCATGACGATATCGGGCCACCTCGATGTGTTACCCAAGGCGGAGAATGGAGTAATAGCGAACCAATATGTTTCCATTTAAAATAATCCGGCTATCGACCTATTCATGGGAATGTGTAGGGGAAATTCGGAGAGGGTTGGGGCCCTGAATGGTTTAGCCCAACTGTGAGGGCTTAACTGGTCCCACTCGGCCCTAAACCGACATTAAATCTGCAGTGAAATTGTGGGGTGGTCCAGACACAACGTCCATTCTGGGAAACCGTAGCCACTGCTTCTCTAAGTTGGTGTGTCCATGCTGATTGATGACTACAATTGGGTAAGAAACTCTGGGGAACTCTGGGATTAAGATGGAATCTAAAGGTATAAAGGCTTCCGGGGGTGAAGGGGGTTATTTACTTGAAATCGATTCTGCTCTTCATACTGAATTGTATATTCCCTTCTTTCAATTCAGCAAGACTACGCTTCATCCCTGCAATGCATTGGTCGACCTCGGTTCCGCTGCTCTGCAGCTCAATGCTTACTTTCGTCACGGGCTCGCTTGCGCTGGGGCGGACGGATAGGCACTATGCCATTATGGACAATGATTGGTATACAGTGGGCTTTGTACCTTATTTGGTTGCTCTTGATGGCGATGTGGAAATCCTAGGCTTGGCCTCAGGTGGGTATCTAAATTTTACTGCATTGGCGCAATTTTTCACTAAGCGTAACTTTAAGATACCGCCAACAGCTGGCAGCCACAGGGCGCATTGCACGCAGTGGCAACCCTAGAGGCCGGGAATCTCAGCTGTATTCCAGTCTATCCAGGTGCGACATGGCCGCTGATCAATACCCCCCACCGCTTCCGAGCATGGGAGATGATCCATGGCAAACTGCCCTGGGAAGGTGCTTTTGCGCCCGAGAATAAGACTCTGGAGGCTGAGGGCAATGATCCTACCTCTGGCGATCCGAACCGCATCGTCAAGGAAGCTTTCAAGGAAGGCTTCCCGAAGGGCCGACCGGAAAGCTCCACCTCGGCGGCTAACTTCATGGTCGAGATGGTGCACAAGTATCCCGGCCAGGTATCCATATACTCGGCCGGCGCCTTGACCAATATTGCGCTTGCTGTGCGTATGGACCCGCAGTTTGCGTCACTTGCCAAGGATCTTGTGATTATGGGAGGGTATGTCGACCTGAACATGCTTCAGGCCACTGGAAGTATCATGCTGGCAAATCACCAGTCTGACGTTAGTATTCTTCGAATGATCCTATGATGGTGTTGACTCCTGAAAATATAGATCAATCTCATGATCGACCCGGAAGCTTCTAAGATAGCCCTGACGGCGGATTTCCCCAATATCACCATCGCCGGGAATGTTGCCAACCAAGTCTTCCCGACCAAGGAGTTCTTGGAGGAGGTTCACTCGGTTCCAAACCCATACAGCGAGCTCTTCTATAAGTATTACGACCTGTCATTGCCTTTCTGGGATGAAACAGCTGCTGCGCTGATGGTCGACCCTTCTATCTCTGTCAACCAGACTTCAGGTATGTCATATGGAAGGTAGATTAAAGATGCCATGGATTATGACTAACGTTTTCAAGTATATCTGGATGTGGACACATCGTATGGCAGTCCCAGCTATGGAAACATCCATGTGTACCAGAAGGCACTTGCGCCCCAGGGTATCCGGGAGGTGAACTATGTGTTCGAGGTGGATGGTGAGAAGCTCATCAGCCGGATTAAGCATGCCCTACAGTATCCCAAATCCTGTGCGGATTTGGAGTAGGTTGAGTGGACCGTCGGATTTGGCTTGCTTGCCTATACTGACAGAAATACTGGGTACAACAATGTATGAGATGGTTCAGTGATATGTAGATCTCTACAAATGTATTTATCTATTAGCCGAATACAGGCACATACTGGAACCTCTATATGATGAAACTTATGATTATTTTATCTTTTGCACCTACCCATACTATGTATTAACTCGAATGTGAGACCCACTTATTTTTATCTATTTTATTTAATCTGTGGTAGGGGGTAGAAGTTTTTCAACTAGATCGGTATAGACTTCGGCAGAACCCAAAACCCAACCCAAAACCCAATAGGTTAAACCTAATAACCCAATAACAACCCATTTGAACCCATTCTTGCATAAAATATAGGTCTTAGCTAGACCTTGCCAACTCCCATGGGACTAAGAAAATTTTGGTCCCATATCCTGGTCCTATCTACTCCTATGGGACTAAAAGAATTCCGGTCCCATTACCCTAGTAGTCCCATAGGGGTCCCATGGGAGTTATAGGACTCCTATATGGTCCCACGCTAGCATAATTTTGCCAAGGATTTCCTATTTCAGCTACACAAAACTGCCAAGTAATCAGATAGAATACTATTATTTATAGGCGTATAAGTGTCCCTACTTTCAATATCTAACAATATAGTTTTTTTTATATAATATCGTCTATAATAGAGTTAATAAATAACTTAAGTCTATATCAAAAAATATCTATCTTTAAAACAAAACTTTATATACTATATTGTAGTAGCTTATAGGCGTAAAGGAGATAAGTCTCTCGGCTACCCATACACTAATCATCTCAGCCTATTGATGGTTATTACGAGGCTATTTAGTGGTCGAGCTTTGAGAAAACTCGGGATAGCACGGTCGCTGCAGCCAGCAGCCTGTACCATCTGCTTTAGAGATAGTGCTGCGCTGCTGGTGATGTCATGCATAATCTGATGCTTCGAGGGGGCTAGGAAAGGCGCCATTCAGGTGTGACCACTCGTGCTTAATTAGAAATCTGCACGTACGAAGGGTGATGTTCAAATTTAGCCTGGCTGCTCTTTGTCTCACCACATTCCCAAATGAGCAGGCATCCGTCTGTGTGGCTTGTTTGTTAGATCAAAATTCTAGGACCCATAAAGACCTTACGAGTTGAATACACAGGCTAATCTTATACCGTTTTTTACGAGTGTAATGCCCTGAAACGAACGAAGTGAGAGAAAGGGAATAGTCAACACGGATGTACGTGTGCGCGAGACGTTGCAAAAAGAGGTGGCTTAACTACGTATGGACTGTTCTGCCACGCACGTCGCTTATTCGCTCTTCCTGCCCACTGGTACCTGCATTATTGTCGCTTTTTTCGGATTAGATGGTCTTGGCTTTAGGGTTCTAGGGTTTTCTCCGCATACTTATGCACGTTGAGCAGGTATGATTGCTTCGTCTTCTGCACCTTGTCCTTCATTTTATTGCAACGTTGTGCTGTTTATTACCACCACGATTTCCAGTCAGTATGTTCTCTCCTGTATTTGCCCCTCTTGTTGCTTTTGTCTCCTTGTTCCAAAATGTTATCTAATCGGCCTTGCTATGACTGTGGGCGCCAAGTTCGTCTATCTGCAACCATTCAACCACCGAGATGTCCTGCTTGTCGGCTTTCCTTTCTGTCTCCTGTGCTTGAAACACGCCCCTGCTTGCGTTGCCATGTTCCAATTCTTGCAAGCTCGTCAGGTGTTCGCTGCGCGCGTTGTGAAGCTGTTTTGTCTTTGGATTCATCTTATTCTCCTTGTTATGACTGTAGGATTCCGTTCCCCGCTCGACCTGGCGTCATGCGCTGCTTCAACTGTAGGTCTAGAAGGACAAATGTTGTGCAGCGCCCCGTCAATTTTCGCCTCTCTCATGGAACGTCTTTCGATCCAACTATGAACTCGTTTGAGCAACCAAATACGCCTACAAATCCCCCGCAACGAAGGCGTCGGAGATCTCGCCCTCAGGCTCTGCCACCTCTGACTCCTGCCTCAGATGCAGTAGAGACTGAAGATACGTCTTTCGTCATTAACCGAGCAGTAAAATTCCTGCTCCAGGAACATGGCTCTCGCGTAGCTGCCTCGAGCTTGTTTCCCCCGAGATAGCCCCCTCACATATTCGCTTGTCCGTAGCTCGATTTGAGAAGGGAATGGCTCTCGCCAGCCGAGACATTCCTTGTTCTTCGTGCGGCACGCTTATCCCTACTACTGACACACGTCAAGTTCTAGATGAGGATTCTTTACTAAGGCCATTGGAAGGATTCCTCGATCGCTGTGGTTACATTGATGGCTTTTGGAACCTGTGCTCAGGATGCCATGCCGCACTCCTACGCGGTTCTGTTCCAAAGTTCTCCGCCGAGAATAAGGTCAATGTTACTCTGTGCCAGCACTACCCTGACTCCCTCAAAGACCTTACCCTCACTGAAGAGTATCTCATTGCCAGATCTCACCCCGTTGGGGTGATCGTGAAGCTGCGGCCCGGGGGCCGAATGTCGCCAGCAAACTACCATGCGCTACGTGGCCATTTTATAATCATACCACAAGATCCAAAACCCCTCCTTCAAATACTACCCAGTCCTGATTTACAGTTCACGGAGCTCATAAAAGTCTTTTGGCTCGGAAATCGTGCTCCAACCGATGACGATCTTCGCCCTTTTCTGATTGTGCGCAAGTCCAAGGTCCTCGCCGCTCTCCAATATCTTATCCAGCACAATCCTCTCTACGGAGACGTCACAGTTGCACATTCCACCATTTACAACTGGCCTAACGAATTCATACCATCTGATTTACAGCAGCAAGTTATAAGTTTGGATGAAACGGACCACAACGAGCGAGTCGGCTATAGCGTCAACTTACAAGAAGGCAATTATGAAAATGACTGGCAAGCCGCAGAGGACGGCTCAGATCACTTAACCGGAAACTCTCTTCCAGTCACTGCTTCCGTTACCGTTGATGTGAACGGGGAGCGCCAGAACCCTGACATGCGCCTGCTTAACACGATGAACACTCTGATTGGCGATTCATCACCGGACGTGCAGCCGCGATTTGCTCCCGCTGTTCACATGGACCAGACTGGCCTATCATACGATACCCATCGATGTCCTCCTGCGATTGAATATGGCGTTCGAGGGCAGGCGTTGCTCCTTAATCAATGGCAGGACCATCACTATTTCACATCTGCTTTCCCTACACTTTTTCCCACGGGCATAGGGGGTCATCTAGACGACCGGGATGTTCCTGTGTCGCTCGCTGCTTTCGCGAATTGGGCACTACGCCATCATAGCCGAAGGTTTGGCTATCTCCCTGGCCGCATAGCTTTCTAGCTGACTGGTCCAGATTTTCCCTGCACAGGACTTTCATGTATTTGCTATATGATGTTATCCAGCTGCGCAATTCGTGTCTTGGTAATTCATTGCTCATCAAGCGATCTCAGTGGGCCTCTGTGACACGGGATCTTAACTCGTTGAGCAGTGATCGCCTACGGAAGGTCGCTGAAGAACTCGCTGCAAACCAAGTATCTACAGATGTGCTTGTTCGACGACTACTCAAAAATATAACTGCCATCGGGGTTCAAGTACCTGGGTCCTTCTTCCAAAAACTGCAGATGCGCGCCGAGATTCGAGGTCTGCTGGTACGCGAAGGAATGCCTGCATTCTGGCTGACAATCAACCCGTCTGATCTTCAAAATCCCCTTGTTTTTGTTCTTGCTGGACTGCAGTGCCCATCTGATAGCTCTACCAGTCTGTCTTCGGCAATTAGGTGTGAGACAGCAACGTCTGACCCTGTGGCTGTCGCGAGATTCTTCCATTGCACATGCAAGGCAGTCCTTGACGGTCTACTTGGTAGCAAGCCTGCTGACATGGGGATTCTTGGGGACGTGTCTAATTATTTCGGTGTTGTAGAGAGTAATGGCAGAGGCATGCTACATCTTCACACTTTGGTGTGGAAGCGGGGAAATCTTGGTTTCAACCAACTGCGAGACCGTATCCTTGCAGATAGCCATTTCGCAGATCGGATGATCAAATTCTTAGAGTCAGTCATCATGCACAGCTTACACGGGCCAGATAGCAGCCCCGGACAAACTGTCTCAAGCACGCCGCCTTCACCGACCGCCCGAGAGTCAGACAGCGAATTTGTCAATAAACTTTTCCTTGACAGCAACGCTATTGCTCGGACCAGGCAACTGCATTCCAAGCGCCACACAGCGACTTGTTTCAAGTACCGGCGGCCAGGAGCAGGCCACGACTCTTGCCGCTTTGGCATGCCAAGAGATCTTTTAGAAGTGTCTAAACTAGACGAATACGGCATCGTGCACCTTGCACGTAACCATGCTTGGGTTAATCCATGGAACCCTTCCATCGCCAGCTGTATCCGCTCAAACCACGACATCTCTTGGATTCCAACTGTGTCGAAATCACTGTCGCTCCTTTACTACATCACAAATTATGCGACCAAAGACGATGTTTCGCCTGCTCAGATGGTGACGAAGGCTGCGTTATTAAAACAAGCCATTGATCGCGCAAACTCCACATCTGCGCCAAACACAGCTGATATACGCCTTCGCGAGAGAGGAATGGACAAATTCGCTCTCCGCTGTTTCAACAGCTTGTCACAAGACCGAGAAATTAGTGGAGTGCAAGTAGCGAGCACATTACTCCAACTTCCATCGTATTATACACTGAACTACAACTTCACCCGTTTGAATCTCTGGTGGCTGAGACGATATGTTCGTTCTATGATCCATCCGGAACGCCTTCAGAATGCTGTGCCGTCAGAAACAATTGGAGAGGAACCGTGTAATTTTGACCAAAGCACGAACGCTCCGGCAAACATATTTGATAATTATAAATGGCGGGGTGACCCCTTATCGTCCCTGTGCATCTTCGAGTACTGCATGATAGTCCGCACTAAGAGACTCCAGGATGCAACGACAGAAGACATTCCATTTCATGAGACGCATCCAAGGCACCGCACACATTTGCAGAGGCTGGCTCGATCTGCTTCCCAGACAGCCACTGTGACCCTTCAAGGCGAGCTGACAGAGTTCCAGTCCTCGGAGGATTCCATGCCAGGTGGACACCCTACAACCACTGCAATTCAGAATGATCTAGCCGAGATTCTCCTGGGACTCTTCATTCCTTGGCAGAACTTGCAATCACTTTTTCATCAAACACGTACTGGCTCTGCCACAACAGTCGACCTTCATCACATCTGGATGTCTATCGAGCCAACACTTTCATCATATGTTCGCACTTTTGCGCAGAACATCGAACTTTTACGGAAATCAAAGACCGATTGCCAGGCAGATGCTATCCTGCGGGATCGCTCGGCGCAGAATACATCGTCGGTTGACCAAGACTTAACCAGTCCGCCCTATCCTATATCCGATTCTGAAAACGAATCCATACGTTTCTCGCAACACGTGGACGACTCTATAAGCAAAGAAACACTTTTGGCGGCTTTTTTCGCAATAGGTCGGGGCTGGTCGAACGAAGCAAATGATGCCCAGCGACGTATTCCCACTCTCACCTCGACAAGTTTGCCCTCTTCGCCCCTTCAATTTGATAACTTTGGACCAATTCCGATTTCAAACAGCACACTTTACGAGTCCACTGGGCTCCAATTCTTCCCTCTGTTTACCCTGCAAGAATGGAAAACCCGTCTTCAGAATATTACCAAAGCCGTAAACCAAGACACACAACCTGGAATGCCCACCACTACTGCTTCAGATCTTGACGATTTCAATCTTGGAATGGCTGACGACGTTTTGGTTCCCATTTTGACCGAACCAGACCTATCACTTGACTTGCAACACCGTCGTTCCGAAATCGGTCAGAATCCCACGGGTGCCTCATTAACGTCGCTGGTGCGCGATATTATTCCACTGAATGAGAAACAACGTCTTGTCGTGGAAAGAGTCATCTCTAACCTCCTGGCTTGTGTCAACCACCCGTATGACTCTTCCATGCGGCAGCAAACTCTCCTCTACGTGGGAGGTGAAGGCGGAGTGGGCAAGAGCCAGATCATTAAAGCGATTGTCGCCGTGATGGACCTGATCCACCGCAAGGACGAGGTTATCCTAATGGCACCTACAGGAGCTGCTGCCGATGTCATCGGAGGAAGCACGTACCATACGTCCCTTGGGATTTCTCTCAACCGCTACAGACGGGGTGGAGTTGCTCCTAGAGTTCGCAGCCTATGGTCTCGGAAGACCGTCATGATCATAGACGAGGTGAGTATGATAGACCTCTCCGCATTGAGTATTATCAACACACACTGCAAGATCGCTCGGTCTCTGGATAGATCGTCTCCGCATCTTTTTGGGGGGTTACCTGTAGTGATCCTCATGGGCGACTTTCATCAATTTCCTCCAGTCCAAGGACAGGCCTTATGGAAACTTCCACGAAATGATACGGAACAAGACGGAAAACTTATCTGGAATCAATTCCAACAAGTCATCATCCTTCATGAAAAAAATGCGCCAGGCAGAGGACATACCATATCAGAATTTACTCGGTCGGGCTCGATCCGGCACACTGACATCCGATGACCTGTCAACGTTAAATTCAAAGGCGATCACTTCTCTCACTGACCCACATTTACAACCTGCAACGGTCATTGTCAAGTTGAACTCTCTTCGGCACGTCATTAATCGTCTCCAGATCGAGCGCTTCGCCCGTGCCAGACATCAGAACATTTTTGTTTTTCCGGCTCTCCACACCCGAACAAGATCTTCCGGCCCAACTTCCCTTCAGCTTCGTGCTGACGACCTACTGGGTCTACCCGAGCAAGGCGCAAAAGTCCCCTTCCCAGGACTCATCCTGTACACGCTTTCTATGCCGACAATGGTGTTAACAAACATTTGCACACCGGCAGGCTTGGTCAATGGTGCAACTGGCCAAGCCATGGGCATTGCGATTGACCCACAAGGTGAGTTACTGCTTAATATATATCTTCCGCCGTCGTTCTGAACCGAACTACGTATAATTAGGGGAATTTTTGAAACTCGACGACTTGTACATCTTTTGTACCAAGCCTCCAGTCTGTCTTCTTTTCAAACCAGCCCGCACTCAATCGAATCTCTTCCAATCGCTTGATAGTGGTATTTTACCTATCTTTCCACTCGAGATGTCTATTACTGTGAAAGGATATTCAGTCCGACGGAAACAAATCCCTATCTGTCCGGCATTTTGTCTCACTGACTATAAAATCTAAGGCGCAACCCTCGACTCTGTCATTCTGGATCTGAAAGACGATACCAAAAGTCGGCGGCAAGAATCCCATCGAAAATACTGCTCCACATACGTGCAGCTGTCACGCCTACGTTCGCTGCATGGCCTTCATCTTCTGCAATCGATTAGTATGAGCGACCTTGAGCACAGACCTGACCCTCAATTACTTGAAGAAATGCGAAGATTGCAAACGCTTCAAGAGCAGACTCTTGGTACGTGGCAGACAAATTCTTAAAACTAAGTGGCCAAATATCCAATCATCTTTTTCCACGTCTTACATGCATTTGTATGAGTAGAGTCGTGTCCTATATATCGTAATCATCCTCTCGAAGAAGCGGTCAGGAAGTTTGGGCTCATCACATTTTCGCTCGTATCTGCGCCTGATATGCTTCACCACAGCTATGTCTACTTTATCCCTTCACTTCGTTTCTTTTTATCCCCCTAGGTATTTGAAGCCCACACTATTCTGTATATATCTACTTTCGATATGCCATCAAATAAATCCTTTCCCGCCATTCTTCAAGTCCTCGATTTCATCGGGAATGTTGAACCGGATCCAACACGCCCCGGTAAAGGGCTTTCCATACAACTACGTGTTTCACTTAATATACCAAGTCAGGATATTCATTCAGACGATGTTGAACAGAATGAAATCCCCGCCCCATCAGGTTCTTTAATGAGGGCAACCGGCCTGATCTTTATCAACCAAATGCTTTTGTCTATTCGTCAGGTTCTTTTCCTACAACCTCGTCTGAGGATGAAGGGTTTCATATTGTTCTTCACGCTCACAATTTGGATCGGTAGGTTTGCCTTCTCTATTTCAGGAACATGCTTATATAGTCTAGTCACCCTGGTAATCAGGAAGATACAGCCTCATACTTTATGCACTGTCCCGGAGCTGCTCAGCCAATAGTTACTTTCCTCGGCGTCGTTCTTGAGCGGGGTGGTCACCTAAACGACGGGCCAACTCTACTTCACTATGCTGAATAATCGTTTTATAAGATATTGTCTCTCAGGCATTGTCTATAATGCTCTATATCTCTTATCTGGCTGCAGCAGCATTCATCTTTTCCTCCTTTGCTTTCTTCTCCTCCCGTTCGCTAAAGCGATCACCGAAAAGACCGATATGAGGCCGCATCAGAATCGTGTATTTGACGAATTCCTCCATGCAATCCACGAGACGATCTCGGTTGCCACTAGGCATGAGTCGTTGATCTTCTGGTTGACCTTCATCCGGAAATTGCGTATATGCCCTGGGGATCGAGGACTGATTTGGAATGGTAAACATGCGCATCCACCGACCCAGGATACGCAAAGAGTTAACGGCATTAAACGATTGGGATCCACCGCACACTTGGGCAATGGCTAGCGTTCGGCCTTGGGTAGGACGGACACTTCCTGTCGTCAAAGGAATCCAGTCGATCTGGTTCTTGAATACAGCGGTCTGGGGATAGAACGAGTCAGTAATTACTGCACTGAGTATTAGAACTGTCGCGAAAGGTCACTCACTAAGTTTCCGTGTTGCTCAGGCGAGACCCCGACATGCCCATCACTCCACACACTAAGCTCTCGGGGCTCCTGTACTTTCGGATGATCGGTATCGCTGTCGTTCTTCACCGGAAGACCTTCAGGATCAAAGATACGCACATCACAGCCGAGCCGGAAAAAGATACGGCAAGCTTCCAGTGCCACTAGCCGCGAATATGACCTTCTCCGAAGACTGCCATAAAGTACCAGAACCCTCAGCCTCTTGTTTGTAAGCTGCAGGTCAAGTTCAGCCATGTCCATTGCAGTAGCCAAGTCTAAGTTATTGACCCAGTCTTCAGTTGCATCGTCGCTAAGAATGAATGGCCGATACTTCTGGCGGATATCTCGGCTATCTTCACTTGGACGTAATGCTAGAGTTCGATATGAGACATCGATTTGGCGGGTGTTCGCAGTCACTTTTTGAGGAAGAGCGGAAGACATCCTTGCTGAATATTTGGGGTGCAGCAGAAATGATGAGGTTGCCGTCCTAAATGTCGAGGGCGCTCTTTGTATAAAGTAAGATAGCATAGGTTATACTCGTGAAGGTAGATGGCAAAGGTAACAAAAAAACAATGACTGTTAAAATTGATGACTACACGCGCTTAGTTGTAACTATAGTAAAAATTATCCCGGAAGGGTGTATGTCACTAGCAAAAAATGATTGGATACAGATAATATGTCTTTGCCCCACCCAACTGGACATTAGAAGAAATGACTAAATATCGCCACTGGGTTCCGTTTCTGCTTGGTCGTATGTTCAGACTACTCTACGAGTTCAACTACACTCCCCAAATACGTGCGTTCATTACTCTCATCCCCATTCCAAGAACAAGGGTGAAGGGAAAGGAAATCCGTAAATATGAAGAAGTGTGACGCATCATCCGCTCGAATCCGCGAAAATCAACGGCGTTCTCGCACACGGCGCAAGGAGTACATCCAGCAACTTGAGCAACAATTAAGGTCATTCCAAAGGCTTGGCGTAGCAGCGACACAGGATGTTCAAAAAGCAGGAAGAAAAGTTGCGGCAGAAAATGCTTCTCTCCGATCCCTGCTGATGATCCATGGTGTTACCAAAATACAAATCGAGGAATACTTGGAATCTCAAAGACAAACAGCGAGCTCTATCCAATCTCAGTATCCATCAGTTGTCTCCCTACCATCAACAAACTTACACCGGCCGACGGCCGACGGCCAACCTTCTGTGGATCACCACCATTCTCTGTCTTCTCAAGAGGTGAACAGCACGTCGCATCCGCCTAAAACCCTTGAGGTGAGATCTTCGCCGCCCAGATCCGACCCAAAGATCAGCATGAATATCTCCAATAGACAAGAATCAAGTGCAGGGCGAGCAGTCGAGCTCGGTTCCGTCACAGCTGAAACTGTCCCTGATTCACAGCACTTTGGCGGTGTTCAGGATACAGGTCAATTTACATCGTGCGTGACTGCAGCAAGTCTTATCGAATCTATACGAAATCATTCAGACTTTCGTGATGTGCGATCCGAACTTGGATGTGATTCGGAACCAAATTGTATGGTGAAAAATATGTCGATTTTCGACATATTGGATAGGTGATAGCCATGAATATCTGCCAGATTCAGTCAGGTAGACAATAAGATCTATTATCATGAATAATTAGTCCGACAGCATCTAAAGGAGTAGCTTACCATAGCGATGCATTGATTGGATTCCTTTAAGCACTGTAAGCGTTCATCCAAAAGGCCGAACGCTCGCCTTTTCCCAGGTGTTTGGTGGATCATAATCGTTTAATGCGGTTAACTTCTTTAATATCCTCAGTCGCTGCATGCTTATGTTACCATCACAAATCAGTTTGGAGGAACTTGTTGAATATACAATCTTGATGCGGGCCCACATCAATTCTTTTTTTTTTTTTTTTTTTGCGCTGATTATCAGCGAACGAGAGGGGAAGAGATTGAAAAATGCGAAGAGAAATTCTGACGCAGCTTAGACTTGAGACAGGTTGTGAATAGTGGACGATAGAGTGAAGAACCGTATAGTCCTTTACTGTGAAACCATGCTTCTTAAACGTCGTACTTTAGTCTTCTATCTCATTATCTCTTACGATGAGTAACCTTAACCAAAGCAAAAGACTGCTGCAGCCAACCAGTCGCAGTGTAATCCTCCATCGATGCTGGTATTGTGATCCAGCCGTGGCCCTTTCTTATTTAAGGACAAAGATCTTAGAATGGCCATTTGTCTCCTCCTCTGCCTATATCACCTAGGTGGATCATCTCAACACTGACATGGTGCTAATGTTGGAATTCGGTTCATTGATCTTGAAGCTCTCACACCGATCGACGAGATGCCGGTAGTAGTCAGTCAGCACCTCTGGCTGTGGAACAATTTGCCATTCCATCCTGAACAAAAAGTCGAGTTCTAGCATTGCCAGCTCCATCGTGCTGATTCCGCCTATTTGAGCGTATGTCTTGTTGGTCCAAAAGCTATCGCTCAAGCCTTTGCTGGCGACTGCCGCACTAACAATCAGGAATCGATGAATCGTCAGACTGGAAACCGTGAAAGCAGGATATAACATGCAGAGCCGATCAATATAATAGACCATGCTGAGAAGTATCGCCGACGGGAGTTTAGCATGCGTAGCCAACCGCTGAAGGTAATTGAACACGGGAATTTGGGGTGCAGTACGAGAGTGAAACCTAGTTTGTTGACCCTGCTGGAGTGGCATTTTATCGTTTATCCGAATCAATTGCATGAGAATGCTCGAGATAAGCACCACCAAGTCGGACGGTTCAGTCAATTCGTACTTCGCAGGCAGCAACTTGACATCAGATCTGGGATGCCACCTTTGCCCCAGCTGCGAAATGTTCAGTTTTGAGTACAACCGATACACTAGAGGTCCATTTGGTGAGTGGGCATCGTCTTGGCTTTTGCGCTGAAAGTTCTTCGACATAAGGAAAGAGATAGAGCGCGGGAATGGCAATATCAGGTTCGGAACAGAAGGTGTCGTTTTAGTAATGGTATTACTGGCTGAAGAACAATCGTCTACAGCAGCAGGTTGTGGTAATGCCCAACGATAAGCAGGGGCCCATACTGGAAAAGGTCTTCGTGCTCTTGTTAATAGCTGAATAATTTCGACCTTGAAATAGGTATTATACCCACCCAAAGCGCATAGTATCTCATTAATCAGGCCAGACGAGCGATGGATGATGGATATCAAGCGTCTTATGTGGGCCTGGGGAAAAAGTGGGGAGGAACACAGATGAATTTGACAGACACAGAAGCTTTAGGCAAACATAATTTCGCTCCAGGGACTGGTATCCAGATGACTTGAAAATAACTTTTCTATTCGGGGGACCAACTTAGACATATTGAGGTAACCAGTTAGCTTATAGTTGTGACAAGACTCGGCTGGGCTGGGCTGACGCGGGAGCTTTTCCATATTTTATTTAATAAGCAATGTTTTAAGCCAGGGTGTAGACCGCCACCAAATGTTTGCGGGGAATAGTGGGTTCCGGTGGTCACTCACTGAACTTTATTGGATGGGGGTTTATTTGCCTTGGGTTGTCTCCTGATCTCCCATCCGCCCCTTCCCAACCTAACCTCTTCTCTCTTGTTACTTACCAAAGGGTACATCTTCAAAGGGTATACTCCTATTATCCGCTAGATTACGGTCGGCCTCAGCATGTACGCTATCTAGGCGTCAAAAAATGGAGTCTCATAATTCTCGTAACTCAAAGTCACCTAGCTATCCATTGACACTCCAAAACATGTTCAATAATTTAACTTTGTCACCGGAGTTATCCAGACAACAGGTCGGGCTTATCACCCAGGAAGTCATATTGCGTGTGTTCATGCTGATCCAGACAAATTCTGACCACTAAGTTATGATTGTTTCTATTATTATTAAGTGCATTGCCTATCCGGAGGCCTCTAGATCGGCCCTCGCTTCAACATAGCCTTGCCCAAGTCGCAAATTTCCTCTTGTTTTTCGATTCAGTCTTTCCAGCCAGCTCGCTTGGCTATGAATTTGGCAACATAGACAAGGCCAAGCAGTACTGGAACCTCAATCAACGGCCCGACAGTGGCGGCAAGCGCCTGATTGCTGTTGGCACCAAATGTTGCGACAGCGACAGCAATAGCAAGCTCAAAATTATTGCTGGCAGCAGTGAAACTTTGAGTAGCAGACAACTTGTAACCGAACCCGAGCTTGTAAGTCACAAGAAGAGTGATGAAGAAGACGACGATAAAATAAACGATGAGCGGAGCGGCAACTCGAACGACTGATACAATCTGATGAACCACCTGGCGGCCCTGAGATGCGAACAACACAAGGATCGTAAAAAGAAGCCCAATAAGGGACCACGGGCCAGCCCACTTCAGGAAAACCTGGTCGTACCAACGTGGGCTAGTTATCTTTCGAAGTACAATGCGGGTAATGATTGCGGCACCTAATGGAATGCCAAGGAACACCGCCACGCTTTTGGCAGCGGTAGAATATGAGAGTGTAACTTGACTGCCCGAGTGGCCAATGACCTTAATGAAGAGGATTGCCAAGGGAGCGAAGAGCACCATCTGAAGCAGTGAATTTACCGCAACAAGAATAGCGCAATATTCATTATCACCGCCAGCGAGACCGGTCCAGATGAGAACCTATTATAATGATCAATTAGTCTCTGATTCCGGTACAACATAAACATAGAAAGGGGTAACTTACCATAGCGATGCATCTGGCTAATCCAACGAGAATCAACCCCTCCCGAAGTTCTGGCTCGTCCGGTAGGAAAGCCCATGCTAGTGCAAGCTGGATCATATCAGTACATATCACCATGAGGAGTGGGATTAGTCTCACCATCAATAAAGGAGCAATAATCCAATTGATGAAGATGCTGAACCCAATTTGAATCCAGACCCCACGCTCTCGGAATACATGGTGCAAAGATTCGTATCGTACTTTGCAAAGAATAGGATACATCATGACCAAGAGACCGATTGCTTGCACCGGTTAGCCAAGGCCTAGTAAATTCACAGTTCACGCGCACATACCGATTGGGATGGAAAACCCCCACGAATTTCCCTTTTTGGAGAGCAGGACCCGTATTTTCAACAAAGTTGCCTAGGATAATTCCAACGGCCATGGCAAGGAAGATCCACAAGGCGAGAAAACGATCTAACCAGCCAAGACCTTTGAAGGCTGATTGCTTGGCTGTAGACTCTTCCGAGTCTTGCTTTTCGACATCCTCAGCAGTAGGAGTTGGCGGCTGGCTATGCAGTATTGAGTTATGATATTCCGATTCCTTCGTCGGGTGCAGACCTGTTGGGGCGGCCATATCCAGCTCCGAATAAGATATGATGGTTTGGAATCTGCGAAGGTATTGTCTTCAATGGATATCTCGAAGGAGAATCAAAACGTACGCCAGTGATTTGCAGAAACCCCTGTTAGCTGGAGTCGTCTGCAATATATATAGATTTTGATTTCTTGCCTTGAAGGGCGACACTAATCCAAATTAACTCAGAAAGGGCATTTTGGTGGCCAATCAAACTTGACGAGTGACACTTTATTTCGCTCAGCCAATCACCACAAAGGAGTGACATACAGCAAAAGTTCTTGGCGACTCTTGCTTTGTCATTGGCATGTAAGATTTTTTCGAGGCTCGACTTGTTCGATGTTCCGCACGCATTTTGGATAGAATGCAGTCTCTTTGTTTCTTACAAACTTTGACCAGTCATATTGTTCGAGTGACATGTCTATGGCTGGTACAGAACTTCGCCCGTGTTGGAATAGGGTTCAATAGCAGTGTCCTCTCGTCACGTAACAGAATAAGGCCTGCTTGCTGCCAGTCTAAATTGCACTTAGTGCTCAGGATCTGAGACTATGGCCAGGTATTGATTTCTAATCCGGCAATGTCGGCAGGATGCGACATTGCACATACTGTGACTATATCACAGATTCTCAATCAACGCTTTGATAAACTGTGGGGCAACAGCCGCTAGTGAATGAGATATTACACAAGACTGCCTTTTTCTGCTAGATAGAGAATGTTCTAGATCAACGGATTGTTGAGTTCCCTCTCTTACAAGCTATTACTTGTTATATAAACCCCACGCGCTGCCTCCATTCAGTCTCTCGCACAATTACTTATACGGGAATTGAGACACCGCTTATGAAGCTTTTCTCGTTTTATAATTATCTCAAGAGACGTTTGCCACCTGTACCAGTCAATTGCGGACTACTTTAACAACCGAGTCACTCTTCCAACGAGCTGTTCCACAACGACCGCACAATCGATCCCAAAGGCACATCATGGCTAAGCCTAGTGTATTGTTCGTCTGCGTTCACAACGCTGGTCGCTCCCAAATGGCCGCCGGCTATCTCATGCATCTGGCTGGTGACACCATTGAAGTCCGCTCTGCCGGATCGGCCCCAGCCGACTCCATCAATCCAGTCGTTGTCGAAGCTATGCGCGAAGAGGGCATCGACCTCAGCAACCAAAAACCTAAGATTCTCACTGCCGATGCAGTCCAAGACAGCGATGTGGTCATTACCATGGGCTGTGGCGATGTCTGCCCCTTCTTCGCTGGCAAACGCTACCTCGATTGGCAACTCAATGACCCCGCCGGGCAAGGGTTAGATGCTGTACGGACTATCCGTCACGAAATTCGTCAACGCATCGAGAAGCTCATCATCGAACTCCAATCTTCTACTTGAACACAACTGGGAAGATCCCCTAATGTAGCTGTGAACCACTGCTCAACAATTTGTCAAGGGTGCTTGGCGAACAGCCGTTGTGCGGGGGATGGCCGTTGGTTGCTTTACTTAGTATGAAAAACGAGGAGTCAATGTCAATTACAAAACAATGTTCACGCTAGTATTCGCGCTGCTATTGAATATGGATATTTCGATAGTACGCATGCTGTAACCAGATATCTTTGATGGTCTGTTCCCTACATTCGCCATGTATCATATCACTAATTAATCCCAGCTTCGGTCTGTCCATACAAGGATGCAGGTTGAAGTTGGATCTGGATAATAAAGATGCGGTCGGTCTGGAATTAAAGGAACTATCTATTACTATATATTTATTAATTACGTATAGTTGATCATAGTGCAGTTCCGAGTACGCGCCGATAAACAAATAGTGAGTTGCCTTGAGGTCTAAGCTGTTTTCGAAACTCGCTGCGTGTTAATAGTATAGACCAATTCTCTTATCAACCTTGTTGAGTCATAACGAGTTGCATCTCCACGTCTTACATACATAAAGATGGCTTGTAAAAACCTAAATCCTAAATTCATCCACTAAGATTCTTACCAAACCAGCGGTGAGATATATCTAGGATATATCATATATGTGTTCGTGTCTACAACAGGGATTATGCGCCATAATAACCCTAAACACAAAATCACGTTTCTCTCTTACTCACTTCTCCTCCCATCACACAGTCACTCCCGGGCCTTCGCTAGAAACCACACTGATCAGACATACTTCACCTCCACCTCTTTAGGTCTGATATACGCCTGAGAACATTATGCCTTCGAATTCTACTTTTCCCGCTATTATCCATATTCGGGACTTTGTCGAGCATGTCGAACCGGATCCTACACGTCCCGGCAAAGGGCTTTCCCTGCAACTCCGTGTTTCGCTCAATCTACCATGGAAAGATATCCAGTCAGACGATGTTGAACAGGATGAAATTCTCACCTTGGTCAGATTTTTCAATGAGGGCAATCAGTCCGACCTTTACAAACCAAACACTTTCGTCTATTCCTCCGGTTCATTCCTGACTACTTCATCTGATGACGAGGAATTTCATATCGTCCTCCACGCCCACAATCTGGACCGCTCAGTTTGTCCCATCTGCTACAGTACCAAGCTTACGCAATCTAGTCATCCGGGGAATGAAGAAGATATCGAATCGTATTTCATGCACTGTCCCGAGGCTGCCCAGCCAATAGTGACATTTCTCGGTGTCGTTATTGAGCGCGGTGGCCAACTAAACGGCGGGCCCACTCTTCTTCACTACCGTCTCCAGACTACTGTTTACAATAGTTCAACCCGAACCAATCACACCTTTCCCATCACCGCTTACTTTAAAAATGGTCAGCGTTGGGCCAACTTTCCACCCTTGAGTATGAACACCCATGTTTTCTTGACCGGTCGTGTTTTCGGCCTCACAAAAGAGCATCGCCAGTTAGCTGTCGTTACGGATGATATACATTTTCTCCCAACACCAAATAACCAGTTGCCCGCTACTCCTCCCTCTACTGGTAAACGGAAGCGCGTGGACCGTTGGTCTCAAAGAGCCGGCCCACAAACGCCCACCAAATCGGCTGCAAGGCCACAGACCGAGTCCCTTCCTATCACGTACCAGTCCCAGGATCCCACTCAAATAAATTGCGCCTGGTGAGGACGATGAGGAAGACGCGCAAATTACATGGCCAGACACGCCCGAAGAAATCAAAGCCTCGTCGCGGACTACCACCCCAGTTCCGGAGAGGCGTTCCCAACGACCACGTAAGACATCATATGCCGATATACTTGCACAATCGAAATACGACACCTGATTCATGGTTTTTCATTTCAAGATGTTACGGCTATTAGTCAGATTTTTCTACGTCCTGATTCGTCAATGTCACTTAATTCCAAGTACCAGTCGAGCAACACAAATATGACTTCACTTCTTTTTCCGGCCTTTCCCTATAAATCGTTTCAGGGCCACAGCGTGCGCAGCGCGCGTCTCCAGTATAATACTGCCAAGAAAGGAGTTCAGGGGCAGAGTAACCGTAACGGGTATAGCGTGTTTCGGGACAGGGTTCGAGAAAGAATCTCTGTGTGCAATTGGTGAAACTGATTTCGATCTTCCCTGTATCAAAGAGAATATATTCCTGTTTATGTGTTAAGAGATAGTATTGCACCGCCAAATTCGTAAGTTCTTGCCAAGCCTGGTGGTTGCGATCTGGGCAGTGGGAAATTCTCTCTAGGCCCTCGCTTTCCGCCGGGTTCAAAACCGTTGTCGCGCTGATTTATCCCTCAGTTTCTGCCCTGCTCTTGGAGTTTGCTACTGGAATACCACTGTCGTATTTATTATCATGAGCTTTGGACCTCTTTAATCTAACCAGGCTATCTTTTAAATAGGAAAGTGTTGTAACAGAAGTCACATAATGGCCGAATCGCCTGGCATTTTTATCTGGCGTCTGAGGCTTCAAATCATGGTTAAAATTTTCCGGACCACCCTCAAGAAAACTATGTCGATGCTTTGTGTGTTAATGTAATTTCTGGTGCACACAATTTATATTTAAAGCCGCGCAGTGTGCTCTTAATCTCGTCCATCCAAGTCAAGCTAGCCTATAGTTCCTGAGGTCTTTCGAAGATGCATTTTTTCTTAATTGCTATTCTAGCCATTATTCAGGCTGGCACATCCCAAGCTGGAACCCTTGAGATCATAGATCATAATCGGCAATGTCTGATATGGTCTACTGATAATTATGGCTGCACAGGTTACTCTGCGTCATTTGGTCGTCTCGATGGAATTGATTGTTCAAGTAGGCACCCTCAAATTGAAAGTTAAGACCGCTCTTAACGAATTGCTAGAGCTCAGTGAGGTTGCCAATGGCAACCGTCATGAATTGAATATGCTCAAAGTCGACGTATGCGGTACAGAGGACGGTTCGCCTGTTGCTTGGATCCAGGTGAACCGCACGGGACTGGTCACATTCTCCAATATAAATGGGAATCAATCGTCCTGTGTACTCAATGATGGATTAAAGGCAGGTAGCTGGTGTATTACAACTGGAGAATTAGATAAAACAAACTCGCCCTGCTACTCATCTACCTATAAACTACCTACCAGCACCCCATCTTCCAGCACTCCATCTACCAGCACTCCATCTACCAGCAATCCATCTGCCAGCACCCTATCTACCAGCACTCCATCTACCAGCACTCCATCTGCCAGCACTCCATCTGCCAGCACTCCATCTACCAGCACTCCATCTACCAGCACTCCATCTACCAGCACTCCATCTACCAGCACTCCATCTACCAGCACTCCATCTACCAGCACTCCATCTACCAGCACTCCATCTACCAGCACTCCATCTACCAGCACTCCATCTACCAGCACTCCATCTACCAGCACTCCATCTACCAGCACTCCATCTACCAGCACTCCATCTACCAGCACTCCATCTACTACTACTACGAAAGATAGCCATCTCACTATCGTTACTGTTGCTTCTGTCACTAGCACTTCTACTAGTATTGTTTGGGTCACAGTGTAGATAGTGGAGGTTACACACACACACACACACAATTTATTAACGCCCGGCGGCTAAGCCGAAAGGGCAACTATCTCTGATCTACTATACATGTCATAATAGATATAGTACTGTGTCTCCTCAGAGCCCATACAAAAAGCCTTGCAATATATGCCATCTCAGATGTCCGTATCGCAGCGGATCCTCGTGGGTTAGTAATTTTGTTAGTAGGCTGGCTTGAAGGCGCTTCTGAAAGTGTTCAACATCCAATCTTCGGCAGTTGAAGCGCGTCTACCACCTGTAACACGAGGTGGTTGGTGGGTCAGATCGGCGAAAGGGGGTGATTTATGTTCGTCGGCATGGTTAGGTGGCCTCAAGTCGGCCCGTGGCGATGGCGAATCGTATTGAGGCCCGTACCGCCTCTAACTTCGGCTTCCACTTCTGACCATCGGAAGGCGACTTTCCTCCTAGGAAGAAGGATATATTTCTCGGTGGGTGTTGGTACATTGTAGTAGTTCCGTCCGGTGCGCCGTCCATTTTTGACATCGAAATAGGAAGTGCTCCACGGTCTCTCTCGCTTGTCCACACGCACACTGGTCTGTGTCTGCTACGTTGATTCGAAAGAGATATCCATTGAGTCTTGCCATGACGGTTCGGAGTTGAGCCAGCACGCTCGCTTCTTTCCACGATAATCGGTCATATAGCTGCCGGGTGTCAAGTATTGATTTGTATTACTAAGTTGGGCACGCTTGATAATACATTGTAGAGGTGGCAGCATGTCTACCTACATAGACCCTCTCCCTTGCATCCCCTTCGATCCTCATCCGCATCCTTCACGGGGCACAACCAGTTCCGCAAGTCAATACCAGTTTGCACCTTAAGCCTACTTCCATAGCGGCCTTGAAGACTCCATCCTCGATAGCCATCTTCAAAATCCTATTCTCTCAGTAGACCGACAGGCGCGTCCGTCCTCTCGAGCCATATAGAAAGTGTCGTATCTGCAGTCCGCCCACCCAGTCTTCCGTCGCTTCCATTATATGCTGCGCCCCGCGGATTGTCAAATCCATTTCGCGCTACCTTGCAAGATCTCTCTGACAAGGCCGACCATGTCTCGCAGGAGTTTGCCCAGTTGTATCCTCTCTGTACCCAGAACAGCCAAGCAACACAGTGTTGTCCCTCCTACTAACCAAAGTACCTCGTCGTTCTCTGTGTGGATTCAAGGATGCTGGGTCGTGTCGTGTCGTTCGTGGTTTTGCTTTTGGCTCTGTCGTTTGTGTATCCTCAGACCCAGCGATATCCTCCTTTCAACAGAGCAGCCCGAGAGCACCCCAAGGGTGTCCTATCCCACGACCCTAGTGTCCACTGATTGTAGGATCGGTTTCGCAGTCGTGTGTCGGGTGGTTTTCAAAGTGTTCCCTTGTCGCCTGTGCGTGGGGTCAGGGCCCCTGACCCCTGAGCTCTCGCTCCCGCCGTAGCCAGCGGACAGTGCTGGCCAGTGGTGACTCTTCTTAGCTCTGCGAATACACCCCAGGCAAGGCATTCACAGGTTCCCAGCCGGCACCACGTGGAGGTGAGAGTCGTCGCCAGCCAATTCTAGATACAGACACGTTCGAAATCAGTTTCATCTCCACATTCTCTCTAATTCTTTGCTGGACTTTGTTTTGCATGACGCTATGCCTTTTGCGGCTAGATTGCCCCTGACCCACACTTTCGGCAGTATCTCAGTACGGTAACTAATAATGGCATAAAAATAGCCATCGTATTATGGTTGTATGGGCTATGCGTCTAGAGCCATTCTCATGCAAAAGTTCTCTCGCAAACAAAAAAGAAAGAGACCAGAAGAAGGGTCCCACTGTACATGACCTCCCTCGACTGCTCAACTCCATCTGGTGTATGTATTAGGAACAAATGTGGCATTACCAGTTGCTTTCTAGAACGATAGTTGATCTCTCGTGGAGTTCTAGTCTAGGATAGAGTAAAAATGACAAGAGAGCTCCGCTAACAGGAAAATTCAAAGTGCATGTAAACGTTTGAGATAGTATAATCAAATCAATTGCTCATTCCGTCCCCCATTTGTGAAGCGCGTAGACGGAGAGCATGACTGCGACGATTCAATAGGAGCGGTAACTTCAAACCCCTAATCATTGTTCTGTTTCGTTCCTGCTTCCCAGGTGAACACTATGTGACTTAATGAAAAAGGCGCATTCACGCTTCTCAACAATTTCTACCGGACTGTCAGCGAACAACTTGACTTTCCGGGTAAATCGGTCCCCTATCCACCGATCCGTTATTATTTCCATATCAACCGGAACCATTGCATAATGATCAGATACCGTCACACCATCATGTGCGAAATTATCATAAACGGTCCATCCATCCTGTGGTTTAGGAAGCCAGCCATATTCTATCTCTTCCAGGACAGGATACACCCGATAGTCCAACTTCCGCCTCATTGACATTGGAAACAAGCAATATCCGTAATCCTCTGTCAGAAAATTGAAACAAGCAGTTGTTCGCTCATGAGTCAGAAAGAAGGCAAGAGGCATCACTTTGCGTATAGCCGATATACGGACGATCTTTCTCTCTTTTTTGAATCTCGACACCTAATAGATTAGAACCTGCATCCACGCTAGAAGAGAACGGAACCCACCTTCAAAGTCCCCGTGAAATGAGAACACTCTTCATCGACCATCTCGTATCCTTCATATTGTTGAAGGTGTTGTGTAACAGTATGGTCCTGGTCATAAGAAACCAGAATGTCAACCTCAACATCGCCCACATATTGTTTGGCGAAGTACTGGAACACCAACGGCCCCGTAACGACCGCTCCACATCGCAACACTCGTCGAAAAGCTTCAGGATCGTCCAAAAATCTGCGAAAACATGAATACCCACTTCCTAGGCCGAAGACACTGCTGGAAAATGCGCTATTAAAAGACTTGCTCAGTCGCTGCAATGAAAAGACATCCTTCAATTCAAGATATTGAGATATGGCCTCTAACAGGGGTTGTGCACAAATAAGTTTATCCATTAGATAATGTCGTGTCCTTCAGCTCGATGTTGTCGGGTGTAATTGAACAAATTGGGTCCTCGCTGAGGCTGGTGGCCAAATATTTATTTTTGAAAAGCGGACGCTAAATTACTAGCGCTGATGTCCCGTGACATACCATTCCCATACTAGCGCTGTAGGCGCGCTCTGCTCCTAGGAGTTGAAAAGTCCCGTGATGAACCTTTGATGAACCTTGCCAAGAAGCTGTTGATGGCCGTACAAAACACATAGTATAAAATCCGGCGTGTATCCTTCGCAACCCGATGGGGTCCTTTGTATCCTTTGGATGCGGAAATCTCTCCCTTTTGAGCATTTCGTGGCATTTACTCCGCTCTATCTAAAGATAGTGATGCAAATGGTCGGTTCTCTATATCCGTTTGGATTAACATCGCTAAACTTACTCTACTCAATATTATTCTGGCAGAGCGTTATACACATTCCTGGGGTGCTCTAATTTGGTGTAACTTTATATGACATGATGACATTTGGAATATGTGGCAAGGTCCTAGCAATTTGAAACCTGAGGCTTAATTAGTGCATGTCTGTAGCTGAGCCAATATTCATGGACTTGAGATTTCATTAAGCCGATAAGTAGGGATGCATAAAATGAAAATGATACTAGTGGTACACATGATGAACTTACTAAGACGGGGGAATGTTTCGGTCATGGCGAAGGACGGCACATCGCATGATTACATTCATACACTTGGGTAGAGAATCAGGAATGTAGGTATATAATAATTTTTAGTAAATTACAAACTTGAATCATGTGACTATGCTTACATTACATTTCAGGAGAATGAAACCGGCTAAACTAGTTATGACCTAGCGCGTTTCAGAATAGGAGATCCAAAGAGAATGATGTAGTGAAACTGATTTCGAGCGCCTCTGTATCAAAGGAACAGGAGCGCGTCTGTAGCTTGCCGAGCTGTACAGCCCCAGAGGGACTCCCGCGGAAGCCACCGGTACTCCAAGACGCGGACGTTGTGATTAAGATTATTGTGATATAAATTTGTGGTGTTGTGTACCGAGCGGAAGCTTATCCCTAGCCGATGGCGGACCCACCCGCGGGAGGGCCCGAGCCACCTCCCACAAACACGCAAGAAACCATCGCCAACTTCACTGAGGGAAACCTCGAAGCCAGAGCCATCATTGACAACCGGAAGCGAACCCGGAGTGGAGATGCCTTCGCCCCAACGGATCCAGCCGGCCGAATCACCACCAAGGAGGTGTGGAAATTGATCAGCACGCTGAAAGACATCATCCACCAACAAACAACGACCATCGCAGCCACCCAAGATGAACTACAGGAGATCAAACACAACCAGAATGTCCTCCAGGAACAGAACGAGAAATTGCACGATGAGGTGAAGGCACTGCGAGCACAAATCGAGGCCACCCCACCGGTGACAGCGACCAGGTCCTGGGCCACCGTCGCAACGGAGGGCGGCAACGGCACCTCCCCGCGGAACCCCCAACGACCCGAGAAAGACCAGGATTGCGTCCGAATCAGCACCCAGAGGACCTTTGTGGACCCACGAGACAACGATAACAACGATGGAAACACGTTCGGACGATATCTCTCCATCGATGCCGCCAACGGCCATATTCGTACCGCGTTGCAGAGCGACACCGCGACCCAAGACGCCCAAGTGGCCGGCATCGGCACAACTAAAACCGGCTATTTCATTCGATTTAAGAACGCGGAGTCAGCCGATATGGCCCGTAGCAACACAGAGTGGCTACACAAGCTGGGCAACAACACGAGGCTAGTGAAGCCACGATTCGGGGTCGTCGTGCACCGGACTCCCACCGAGGAATTTGATATTGAGACAGGGACCGCCCAGGCGACGGAGAAAATCATCGCAGATAACGACCTAGCGGATCACAGCTTCCACATTGAGGAACTAGCTTGGATGAAAGCGAAGGATAAGGCCCTGGGGAAGTTCGCGTCACTGGGAATCTGGTTTGATTCCCCAGAGGGGGTGGAATACATGCTTCGGAAAGGGTTCCTTGTCAGCGGGCAACTCATTACCAGTGTCGAACGACGAGAAATCAAGAAGAAGAGGTGCTTCCGGTGCCAACGGCTCGGCCACCTAGCGTGGTCATGCAAGGAAACACCACGATGCGGACACTGTGCAAGACAACACGAGCGGGAGCGATGCCCGCCTGGAGTGAGAGCCCGGTGCCTGGATTGCAGCGGTGAACACCCTACGGGCGATCGGGAGTGTCCAACACCATCGACCTTCAACCCTACCAGATGCTAGAGAAGAATCTCCGCATCCTACAGTTGAACATGATGAAATCGGGACCGAGGATGGAGGCGCTGATCAACGATCCCCAGAGCCTAGAGCTGGACGTTCTGCTGATCCAGGAGCCATCCATTACCACCTACCGCACGCATATCAGCCACAGCGCCTGGCGTTTATACCGACCTACAACTCAGACCGACGCCGTTCGATTTCGCAGCTTGCTCTATGTCAATCGAAGAATTTCTACCTCATCGCATCGCCAACTACCGTGTGACCACCCAGATGTCGCGGCCATCAAGATCTGGACAGCCGACTCCCAAACGCTGGTATTTTCCGTCTACATGCCTCCAGTACCACTTCGCACGGGCGACGACTCCTCAGAATTACCAGCCCTCACGGCGATACAAAACTCCATCACAACCGCTACACAAAATGAGCAGCGCGCGACTAGCATCATTGTTTCCGGTGATCTCAACCGACACCATCCAATGTGGGGCGACAACTATATCGCTCCTAGATACATAGAAGACGCCAGCGACCTGATCGATTTCTTCCAAGCCCACAACCTCCACAGTTGTCTTCCTCGAGGAACGGCGACTTACTGGGCATTCAACAACCCCGGACAAAACTCGACCATTGACCAGACGGTGACAGATAGCCCGGGTTTGCTCGTCAAATGCCATCTGTATCACGAAAACTATGGATCCGACCACCGTGCCACCTACTCGGAATGGAACCTTCAACCCCGGAGCACGCCAAACACCAAAGCAAGGAAGGCGTATGAGCGCGCGGACTGGGCCAGAATCGGCGAGGAAGTAGCCCGACGGATGAACCCATGGAAGCAGATCAAGACCCGGCCAACACTCGACCGGGTAGTGGAAAACCTTACATTGACGACGGCCCAGGCGGTCGACCGGTTCACACCCGAGACACGCCCCACGCCCTAACGTGGTTCCCGGCCGGTCCGTCATCCCTGCCGGTCCGTCACCCCATCGAAACTTCAAAATTTCTACAAGTTTTAAACACCATTTAAACAACCAAAACAACATAAATATCACTAAACTATGCTTTAGGGCATTTATTAAAAGAATACCCTTTCTGATTACAACCAGAACAGGTAATTTGACGACGTACAGGGGGCAAAACAGGAAGGGTAGGTTCAACCTGGGGTTCTGGAGCAGGTGTAGGTTCAGATATATATCTTGCACTAACACCTCCCTTATCACCAACATTGGTAACAAGGTCCAAAACCTCCGTTAAACTACCTGTATTAGACATCCGCTTCTTTGATTTCTCCCTCTTTTTCGTCTGCTTTCTATTTCCCTCCCGTAAACGCTTGATTTCATCCCGCATTAAGACATGCTCGTGAACTAGCTTAACAGACATATTGTAAAACTGTTGAAGATCACGTTTTGTAGGCGAAGAGATCTTATCAGCAGCTGAACTTAGACCGGAATCGAGCCTAGATTTGCGTTTTGCTAGCTACTTAGTCGTCCGAGGGATACCGGTAGAGATATTACTACCCGATGTTGAACCTTGTGAAACTGGTCGATCCGGTAGAGGCGGAGATTGAAGGCGAATATTGAGCTTTGATAATACCCGATCAGGGTCTAATGGTACTAAACTAGTAGCTACGAAGACACTATGAATGATAGACTTTTTAAATGAGTCGTCACAAGCCGCTGGAAAGATATTAAGGAAGTCATCTTTTTCGATAGAATCGATGCCTAATTAGGTATATTCCGCAACCCGCCTTCCGTAAGAGCGCTTTAACACAGCAAAACAACTAATATCTAGAGGCTGTAAAAGATGAGAGGCATACGGAGGCATACAGATTGGAATGATATTGTTTTCCTGGCAAATCTTGTCGAATGTTGCCGTAAGATGACTATCGTGGCTATCGAGGACTAAAAGACGATGTTTCCCCTTCGTCTGACTTATTGTATACGGAATAAAGTGTTTTTAGAGCCAATCAACGCTAATTTTATTACTTGTTTAGCCGTTTGGACTAACATTAAAAGCCCAATGCTTTAATAGGTCGTCAAACCATCGTACTATAAAGTGTTTCCCCTTAAAGATAATGTATAGTGGGAGCGCTCGCCCGGAGGCGCAAATTGATTCGACAACAGTCACCTATTCACGATTGCCAGGTTGTAAAACGCCCCTCCGACTAGTGTGAAATGACTGCGTAATAACCTTCGTTATTGCGCTAACTCCCATCGCAAACCCCGATTCGTCAAAGTTGTAGATATCATCTGAAGTGATACTATATTGAGAAATCGTTTTTTCGACAAGCTTAAACCACTCAATAATGGTATTTAGGTCTTCCATTAAAGCGCGTTTATAGTCATATTTGCGAGAGAATCGACTAGTAAGCTCAGGATGACGTTTGATATATTGTGTTGGCCAATTTTTGCCAACGGTCTGGGGGGTATGATCTCCGCGGTGTTGGAGTAGTAAATTGGCCATATCTCTTAACATAGCGATCGTAAGCGCAGCGCCTCTCTGGTCCATAGAGATTAACCAATCCTGAATTGATTCCTCTTCTAGCTGTGTGAATTTATGGCCTGTAGCCCTTGCTTCATATAGATTAGGAATGCCTTTCATCCGATCCGCAAGAGTTGTGCGGGGGACATTAAAAGAGCGAGCAGCAGCAGCGATCGTGTTAATCCTGCCATTTTGAATTGATTTAATAGCTAGCAAGATCCTGCCTTCCTGCTCAACTGATTTCTGAGCTTTTTGACTGCGGTTCGGTGGCATGGTAGGCGTTTAAAAAGGGGTGGTTGGGTAGAGGCAGAGAATTTGAGGTGAGATGACGGACCGGCAGGGATGACGGACCGGCCGGGAACCACGTTACTCCAAGCGATGGTTTACTCCAGATCTTAAGGTCCAACAAGTCGAAGTCAACCAACTGCGTAGGAGGTGGCAGGCAAGCTGTGCCGAGCTGGGAAGAGAGCACGCTAACACCACGGCTGCATTCCAAGCTATGCGGCAGAAACGACGAGCGTGGACGAGGACCATCGAGAAAGCCAAGTCCTCACACTGGAAGCAGTTCCTAGACGAAGCTGGTGAAGGGAAGCTCTGGAAGGCATACATGAAGCCCCGAGAGACATGGGATTGCGTCCCAGCACTGCGAGTGGGCTCGGAGGAGTGCGCCCAAAACGAAGAAAAAGCGAAGGCATTCCTGGATGCGTTCTTTCCCGCCATGAGTCCACCCGAATTCAGCCCACCTGCCACATCGGCGACGGAACTCCCGTGGCACCCGATTACTGAATCGGAGATTGAGCGATCACTGAAAGCAGCCAAAGGGAATACAGCGCCCGGGGAAGATACCTTACCGATGCTGGTTTGGAAGAGGCTTTGGAGGCATCTGAAGGCCTTCATTGTTAGCATCTTCACAGCTTGCGTAGAGCTAGGGCACCATCCGAGACAGTGGAGGAGCGCAAAAATCACCGTCTTACGGAAACCAGGCAAGCCAGATTACTCGAAACCTGGTGCCTACCGCCCAATCTCACTGCTCAACACGCTCGGCAAGCTCCTGGAGGCAGTGATGGCCCGACGGTTGTCCTATCTTGCGGAGAAGCACGGCCTGCTACCGAACAGCCAGTTCGGCGGACGGCCGGGTAGGACCACCGAGCAAGCCCTGCTGGTGCTGTCCAGTGCGATCGACAAAGCCTGGTACAAGCACAAGGTGGTGACCCTGATCGCCTTCGACCTCGAAGGTGCCTTCAACGGAGTAAACAAGACAAGCCTGGATGCGTCGCTGCAGGCGAGACGGATCCCGCTCGTGGCCAGAAAATGGATCGCAAGCTTCATGAGCGATCGGAGCGCCAACATTGGGTTTGACGACTTCCGCACTGAGACTGCTCCACTGATGAATGCTGGGCAAGCGCAAGGATCACCACTATCCCCCATCTTGTTTGCATTCTTTAACGCCGACCTGGTCGACCAGCCCGTCGACTCCCACGGAGGTGCGTCGGCATTCATCGACGACTACTTCCGGTGGCGAGTGGGCCACTCAACCGAGGAGAACCTTGCCAAAATACAGGCCGAGGATGTCCCTCGCATTGAGGAAAGGGCACGACGAACCGGATTCTCTTTCGCGGCGGAGAAGACCGAGCTCATCCACCTCACCAGAAAGAAGGGAGATCACTTGAGAGGAAAGGTCAGCTTCGATGGAACCGACATCAAGCCGTCACCAACAGCCAAACTGTTGGGTGTGGTGTTCGACCAGGGACTCCGCTGGAAGGAACACGTCCAGCAAGCCATCAAACGCGCCACCAAGACGACTGTCGCTCTGAGTGGATTAAGACACTTGCGCCCAGAGCAAATGCGTCAGCTCTACCAAGCCTGTGTCACGCCCATCGTAGACTATGCATCGACTGTCTGGCATGACCCGCTTCGGGGCAAAACTCATCTGCGACACTTGAACAAAGTTAAAAGAAGCGTGTTGATCCGGATCCTATCCGCTTTCCGAACAGTAGCAACATCAGCGCTAGAAGTGGAAGCCCATATACTCCCAACGCATCTCCGCCTTCGCCACCGAGCGCAGCGCACCATAGCGAGACTGCATACTCTACCCCGGGATCACCCCATGTGGAGCGCACTGGTGCGTGCTCAGAATCGTAGAAACAACGTGGGATCGTACTCGCGCTTCCCTCTGGCGGAGGCGTTAAAAACCATGGAAGTCAACAGACTTAATGAGTTGGAAACGATCGACCCACGCCCGCTGCCACCCTGGCGAGCGAACTCCTTCACAGACATCGAATTGGAGCACGACCTGGAAACGGCAAGAGGAAAAGCAGAGTCTGCAAAAGACATGTCTGATATTGTGGTCTACTCGGACGCTTCCGGGCGTGATGATCATCTAGGAGCGGCCATCGTCACGCTCAACGACAATGGAGAAGTGTTAGAAGCCCAGCAGATCCAGGTAGGTCCGATGGATCGCTGGTTGGTCCACGTCGCAGAGCTCATCGGCATCCTTTACGCGGTCGACATGGTATTCAAGCTGGCCCACCAACGCATAGACAGACTGGGATTGCTGGGTGGAACACACGGGACGGCAAAAATCTTATGCGACAGCAGATCGGCACTGCAAGCAATCCAGAACCCAAGCAACAAATCGGGACAGCGAATCGTCCATGCGATCACCCAGGCAGCCTCCGAGGTTCAAGCAAAGAACATCAGACTCCGCCTCCAGTGGATCCCAGGACATTGTGAGAATGCCGGGAATGATGCGGCAGATCAACTCGCCAAGGAAGCCGCGCGATGTCGGCGTGGGCCGTATCGTAAAAATGTAGGGGTCCAATCAATGGTATTCAACTCTCTGTATTTCTGTATCGGCTTTTCTAACAATTTATATGGGCCGCCGATTTCTAATTTAAATTACAAAAACATGTAGGATTAATAAATCCTCCGGTATGCCGGTCGTCATACTCCGACACGCGACCGGGTAAAACCCATTCCTTCCGGCCGCTACTATCGAGGGAGAACGCGTTCATATGCAGTAAAGTTCATGCTCAATGGGAGCAGGAATGGAAAGTTAGCACCAAAGGTTCTCACGTACGAAAGATTGACAGCGAGCTACCGGCGCCGTACACGAGAAAGCTTTATGGGAACTTACCCAGGAATCGCGCATACCTGCTGACGCAGCTACGCACGGGCCATAACTGGCTATCCACCTACGCGAAGAGGTTCGGCTTCCGCGAAGATGATTTGTGCGAGTGCGGCGCGCAGGAGACGGTCAGCCACGTGTTGCCGCACTGTCCAAACCTGCAAGAGCTGCGGGGTGAATTGAGGAGAAAAGCCGGGGACGCGTGTAACAGCGTGTCGAGTCTGCTGGGAGGCTCAACCGAAGGTGAGAAAGGTAAACCAGACAACGTCTCAAGGGCGAAGACGGTTCAGGCCGTATTGGACTTCGCCGAGGCGTCACAGCGGTTCCGCAGTCGTGCACCATGAGGGCAGCCTAACAACGGAAGCGGCAATGGGCCAGGATAGGCCGTGACGAGGCTCTAAGTTCCTGTCAGGAAGTGGATCATTCCAAATGTACATACTCGGATATATAGTTGTCGTATACTGCATATCGCTTCGGCGAGAGGTCGGTGTAAATGAATATTACTACTACTACTACTCTGTATCAAAGCTAGTAAAAGATAATAATGATATTTGGCTGAGCTGTTTACCCAAGTTCGGTACTTGAAATATTTGCGTCGCGAGGCAGTCTGCCGCGAAGAACAGCGGAAAGACCTAAGAACGGACAAGCAGGCCTACGGCTCATACGGTGACTCCATCAATCCGCCTCCTGGATATGCAGACAGAAACCGAGCTCCGTCCACCGAAACACCATCCCAAATCGAAGGGTCAGCTATATCTGCCGGACGGAAAGGTAGCCGCGTCGTATCGTCGTACGTAAGGCCGGCGAGTCCCTTGCCGTCACTATCCTATGCAGGATAGGCACGACGTATCAAAAACTGCTGCCTCCTGTACCGATCACCGTGGGAGAAGTCGCCGAACGTAAGGACCTGTAGAGCCGGCAGTCCACCGGGGCCAAATGTCTATTCGGCAAATGACACAAAATCCTCGGCCTCTGCTATTGCTGCGGATGACTCGAGCACTGCCTCCTGAAAATCTATACACTCGAGGGGCGACCTATCGTAGTACGCGTTGAGAATACGATCGTAGTCATTATTATCACTAGAGATATCCTCGTCTATAGAACCCCTACGCGAACGAGGGTCCTATGAATACGGTTTGCGTATCTTATAGAGGAAGGTGATAATCTCTCGTTAGATATCTCGATAGATTCGCTCGGGACCGCTGAACCGTAAATGTAAAAGCCGAAGCTAGGAATACTTCGCCGTAGGTCGAAGGTACCGCCGCTGTCTTGATTAGTATGCACACGTTCGCTAGGCTAATAAAGACTTACAGCGGTAGATAGTCTTACACACAGTGCCAAAGTAGTCACCTAGCCTAGGTCTACAATAGTTGACAAATTTGCAATCTATACGGGCGATATATCCCGATCGTCCTTAAATAAGCCATCCTCGCCGATAGGAGTGAGTTGGCGCTTATAGTAGATAAGGCTTTTTAACGTAGTTTAGTGGTACTTTATAGCGTCCTGGATACGGGACTCCGACGCCGGAAAATTGGACAATCGTAGATGTAGATGCTGCAGCCTACGAAACGAACGTAGGAACCATACAACCGTAGATAGGCTACGCCCGTCGCCCGGTTCGTACAGTAGGAGATCTAAAGAAGTTTTAAAATACTCCAGTTGTAGTAGCTTTTGTGACCGCGATAGTAACTATAAGAGACGTAGCTGATTCGGGCAGTCCCGGAGGGTAAGCGCTTATAGGGAATAAAATATCGAACTGTCCTCTGATAAGAGATTTGGGGGAAGGGTCACCCTTAATAGTGCTAGGGAGGATAAGGTCGGAACAGCTGTCGGCTTCTCGACTCTTATATCCCCGACCCCGAGCTCCGGCCCTCGCAGTCTAAGACTCTTCTAGTATAGAGTATAGGCGGAAGCGGAATAAATAAAGCCGATGGATAGGTAATCGAGATAGCTCTAATTGTGACGGATACACTGTCGTAGCAAATTAACCTCGGTCTAATACTAGATTCCTTCCCACTCGAAGGCCGTAAGACTCGATAGTTCGGACAGTCCTTCTAGACGGTACTATATCTGAGGATAGGTACTGTCGGTGACGAGTGAGAGACGGGCGAGGCGCTGTTGATACCGGCTGAGATAGCCTCCCTGATCGAGAACTCCTATCGGGACACATATCCCAAGCCGCTATCTATTGCTGGTCAGTCACAGATCCCGAGAATAGGTACTAGCGTATACGGACTCGAAAGTGCTCAGGCTATTGGGCTTCAAATGGGTGAATACTAGCTGCAATTGATCCTTTACGTCGTCCAAAAATTGCTGATATGCCGTCGCCTCGTCCGAAGCTCCTAATATGGTCGGAGACTCCGGCAGCCCCGCCGCGCGAAAGATGTTGTAATATGCATATCGATTAAACCGGACGAGATGAAATGGAGCTTGGATTTGCAGGTTCCTCACGTGCTGAAGGTAGCCTACGGACCGGGATTGACCGAGGTGGAGAAAGAAGGAGTCGACATCCAGAACGTTCAGCGCCCACTCACTTGCTGCGTGGAATGCAATGGTACGGTAGATGTGAGGAACCAAAACTGAATATAATTTCGACGAGACTCGGCTGAGAGCGCGTAGGTGGGCGGGTGGCAGCTGGCAGGCGGTCAGAGAACGTGAATCAAACAAACCAAACACACCAGGTCTTACCCAATCGGCGATCAGCATCAGAATCTCACACGGCAACGTCTCCAGCATTGTACTGGGAGAGGTGACATCTGTTCACTGCATCAATCCATTCTGGACAATGAGCGACTTAAGAAGCAGGGGCTTGCTGAGACTTGGAGTGCCTGGTCAAATTAACCCCAGACACTTAAACAAAGAAAATATATTTAGTTGGTATCCGCGGAAGACATGCCGTACATCGCGCTGGAAGACAAGCTAGCCCATCCGGTCCCTAATAACCAGGCTCAGTACTTTATTTTGTAACTGCTCTTGACCACAAGGCACAAACTGTTGTAAACCGCATCTCATGATATGTCTCGTTCCTAGCTTGGTGGGATGTTCGGCATGAGCGGCATCAAGACGCAGTGACCGCAGTGTAGCCATGGTGTCCTCACCGGTATTTTAGTGTGCGGAATAAGACGATAAATTGGGGACAACCGTTGTCAAATTCAAAATAATAAAAACGTTCAACTAAGCAACCTTTGGCCTAACAGGCCAAACAAACAGGGCCCCACGGTTCATGTGGGGCAACAGGTAAGCGTGCATGCACAGCTAAGGTCGCGGTTGAAACGGTTACAGTTGTTAAGGAGCGCTGTTCTACTGTAAAACATAAACGATATTTGAATTCGAGTCAACCAAATGGCAAAATCCTACAAAATGGGCTGCAGTAGTATGGTCCTGCGAGACCTGGGGTCCAAGACGTTCAGCCTTGGGAAGATCTTCGGACATTAGGCCGTTTGCTTTCAGAAAAAAAGGGTAGACCTCGAAGGCGCACTGAGATTGCACAATATTTTAACGGGAAACCGAGGCACTCTCTATACTAGGCGGTCGGTTGGCCTGGCAAAAACAGCTCACGTCTCTATGCGATCGTTATCGCCAAATAAGAGCGAGCGATAAGAATACTCCCGCCCGCTAGTGCCAGTAACCACCCCCTGCATTACGAAACTTGACAAATAAATCAAGGGTCAATCTACTGATCTGGGATATTCTGTATTCAATGCCATGGTTGTGTTAAATACATATACACTAACTAGGCCCGTAAGAAGTAAATACCAACTATCCTCCTTTCATCAACGAGCAGGCATTTCATCCCGGCCTCCAAGTATGCGAGTATCGTTCTGCTTCGAAGTCTGTGCCATCTCCCCGGATATGAATAGAGTCTACGCTGCATACTCAAGCACCGTATGCAGGATAACCCTCGAATAAGTGACAGCGCTGTATGCCAGGACCAAGTGCATCACATAGAGACTGGGCCGCCAACCATTCACCACGCCCATCCTCTCCAACGGCCGAAGCAGATAAAAGACAGCCCCAAGAGAATTCCAGATGGCGACTCGACCAAAATGTACCGCCAATAGTGGGGGGATTTGAAATGTCCCGGTCAAGGCATGAATGGTTGGTATCAGCGAAAGTAAGCCCAACGAGACACAACTGTACGGGAAACGGTACCGCGCTGCACAGATACTGGGATCCCAGACTAGGAAATCCACCAGAGTCCCAACAGCAACGACGGTGAAGGCCGCTAGGTATCCGAGCTGGAGGGAAGGCTGGGCACGGAACAGCAACACCACGGAAGGAATAGTAGTCGTCCAGATCAGGACCAAAACGCCTCCAAGCTCCAGCTTTTGCCACTCTGCCGCATCACTGCCGTGGGATGCGTATAGGATACGATATACCAGGCTGGACAAGCACCAGAGGATGACGCCTGCACAATAGACGAGCACCGACAGTGAGTCAAGAATCCCTCCCGGGGATGATGGGAAGTGGAAGAGTAAGAAATGAATCATAAAGAGGTAAAAGTAAGAAAGTCCAAAAATGCTGATTATGGCGAGGATTGCACAGTCGTGCAGAGTCTGAGCTTTAGCTTCAACCATTGTACTTGGGTTGTTGATCGGTTGGGCAGAAGGGGTTACCGCTGGATCGGACTGGGACCTGGAAGACGGTGCAGATGGATGGGTTGGTCTCTTGGAAGTGGTCCAATCGGGTGTTCCGTCACACCACACAGTAGGAGGTCGAGATGGCTGACGCTGAAAGGAAACCATCTTAATTCTAGATATTATCATGGGGTAGGCGGGCTATTTAATTGAGAAGCAGGAGTGGAGAAGACGAAGCGGCTAGTTGCGTTCACTTGGTGGAATTGAACTATTGTAGGTGTGTGTCCCCTGTCAGAATCCAATCCATGAATTCTGTCCAAGTACGTACAACTGTCAACCTTGATGGTCAATGAGTGGGTGGATTCATTGATGGCAACATGGCCAACATGGCTGGTGGTTTAGAGAGGGTGTTTAGAGAGGGTGGTTAAATTCAAGTGGTAAACGGTTCCACCACAAATTTGGAGCGGTTGTTCATCAACACCTCGGAGGTCAGGCCGGCTTCGGAAAGACACATGGTTCAAGCTAATATTAGAAATACTTTGTTTGATAATTGACTTCCTGGACTTGGTTAAGGCTTCACTTCCTTAGTTCGGGGTTGGCATCATTTACGTGGCGGTTGGCTCAAGCTTTTTCCTGCTGGGATGGGAGTATTTATCCACCTATCAATTTCACACCTATCAATGACCCATTGTTAGAGCCATCACATTGAACTGATCGAAAAATGCGTACACTCTGGTCTAAGCATTTTGTTCAATTGGACAATATACGAAGCTGGTCAAAGCCGCCGCTTTAGCCACCCTCAACATCTAGGGGGTTGATTACCCCAGCGAGCCAGCAACCGAGAGCTTTCGCTGTAGCCATTAATTTTCAATCGCACGAATGAAAGCATTTACTACTGAAGGTGGCTCTAGCGACCCGGAATCCCCAACCAGCCCCAAGAGGGCATTACATGTTGGTTTGTTCTTCCTCGACTGCCTATCGCTGTCCATGACCTGTATCTCTAGCATATAGCGGGGACGGCTCACACTATAACATTATTACGGTTGCACAAAGAATGACTGCCTTTCCACAGCAGCAAAACAGTCAGATAAGCGCTATGGAAGAAATCGCCGATATTGTTCGACAGATCGGCCGGCAGCAAGGAGAAAACGTATACTTCCGAGCTTGCTACGCCCTTTTCAAGCACCTGCAGGAGAAGGCCAGGGAAGCATCTGAGGACCTGCTCCGCCTTCACCAATCTGGCACTTTTGGTTCATCCGATGACGAGTTCTACGCCGCCTACCAAGTCGCACAGGAACTTCGAATCTCAGTACATGATCTGGTTGACCAGGCATGCAAAGCCCAGTTGGCCTGTGAGGAGTTCTGTCAGTTGGAGCCCAGATATTCGGCGCGTAAAGCTTTCAAGTTTACAGACACGACACAAACAGCCGAGGCGTCTGAGACCAATACCCAGGAGGGTTGTGATAGCCCCCGGTCGATGCGGTTCATAATACTACCAGTGAACGATATCTGAGGGCACCCCATGCCGTTCAGTACGATTGCATAAGGACTTTGACAAACCTGTAAATAGCCCTCATAGTTCCTTTGATATGTATGCAACATTTATTGTGAAACATTGTGAAAGAATGAACGACATTAGAAGCCCATAGAATCCTAGTAGATCGTAGTAGCAGCCCGTCGGCGGCTTTTGAAACAGTAACAGAACATTATCCGCAACGATAGAATAACATCCAAAAAGATTGCAAGCTAGTCAAATCTTGAGAAGTCAGCAAAATAAAACCAAAATCTAGGTCTTGTTGCATGTATGGTTTCTTTTCTGAATTCATGTTTGTGCTGTCTGGTTGAAAAGCCTCTGTTTTCTACCAACAGCTGCAGTTGAGTGCTATGCCACCGTAAATATCAGTGACATAATTGGCCCATCAATTTACTGACCTTGCTTGTTTCATTGACATGATAGAAGCCACACTGGTCTACGTCTCAGTAGATTATTAAAAAATGGTTAGCTAATGGTAAAAGCATTCATTTTCGGTGGGCAGCGATTTCTAGGGGAAAGAGAATAAAGAAGGTAGTCTACCATACATTGGAGAAACTATAAATAAGGGAAGCTCTTCCATCCATCTCAAAGGTATCTGTTCCAGAGAATATTCTCAGCTAGTTTGAGCCATGTCTTCCTCCAAGCCAGAAAGCAAAGGAGTCACAAAAAATCACAATACGAGAAGCCAGTCACCCAAGGATTATAATGAAAACAACATGCAAAAGGCAGCTGAAAGTTCTCCAGCCAAGGCCAGGGCTGCGAATGAACAAGTCTCGTACGTCAAGCCAAAGTCCAGCGGAAAAGCAGATGCGCATGCTTCCGATCAAAGCCAGGAGGTCCAGTCACAGTCAAAGCCCCAATACAGTCCACAAGACAGCCATCCAACCACGGATGGCCCGAATGAAGCTGCTCCAGTGAAACCAAACGACGCGGACACGGATATGAAAGACAGTGAGCCTGAAAGGGACCTACATGAACCGCCCAATCCGAGAATGGCCAACAACGGAACGAATCCCGGTGGTCCAGCGCCAGTCGACGTTGACGACGAGGAATATGGCGAGGTCCTGAGTGATCTGAAGACGCTGTCAATTGGTCAGGATCGAGGTGGAGAGCCAGACGCCTGGAGCCGCCTAGGACGATCACTCGTATTGCTGGTTCGATACGGGCCCTACAAAGCGGCAAAATACCAAGTCCAAACCGCAAACGGATACAACACTGCAGGCCTGCAAAAAGTATCGGATCCCGAGACTAGAATTTCCCACATCACATACCGAGGACAAGATGGAGAAAAGCATAGGCGGTACACCAGGAACAATGTTGCCGGTATTGTTGGCGTGGCAATCAAAGAAAGGAAAAAGGGATCCAAAACAGCCCCCGTAGCATATGTCAAAATCTTGTGGCAAGACATCGATGAGGACGATCAATGGTTGTTGAAAAGGAACACCTGCTGGATTACCAACGCAGATCTCATCACCTTGACGGATAAGGTTACGGCAGCACAAAAGATAACCGAAGTCTGGGAGAAGCAGGAACTACGCTACAATAACTGGCAAGGCTTAATTGGAAGAGACAGCCCTGATCGTTCACCTAGTCCTTGTCCGCTGGATACCTTCAAAGCGGAAAAGGATTGGACACTAAAGCGAGAGCGCACAAATGAACCATTTCCAAGTTTCGAACGTAGTCTAGATGCGCGGAGTCCTACTACCCATCTGGACCAAGTTGGACAGAGGCAAGTGAGGCAACTGGCGGCAAACAACAGCGAGCGTTATAATCCAGATCCGATAAAGCAAGAATTGAACAGTGAGGAAAACGAACTGTTTGTCCGTACGAATGGTCAGAACACCAATGATCAGAACGCCAATGGTCAGATCACCAATGACCTGGATAATAACACAAGCAGCGGATCTGGGCAAAGTGAGCCCCCACCAAAATTGAGCAATTTCTATAGGAAATGGTTGAAAAGACGGCAACTTGATGAAACAGATCTCGATAATCTCGACGATCAGTATATTGCAAGATTCGAAGCCGCCGCCTTTGTTTATGTTGGTGAACTGAGGAAGCAAGGCTACTTTGTAGAAGATGATATGTGATATGGGTGCGGATCTCTAAGGTGGAGATAGTGATCAAAAGTTTCGGCAATCGAAATGATCGAGTTATCTCCGTAGTGATATGATGAGAATGGCCACATGATTGTATTTTCCTTTTCCATCGCTGGCGATGTGAGAGGTCCGCTCAGCAGACTTGTTAAATTGTTTTCGTTTTAGGATTTCTATATATGCACTCAGAATGAATATCAACCTTTTGTATTGAATAACACTAGCATGGGGCGGAGAGGAGAGTATACATCTTGAGCAGCCAATTGTTTAAAAATTGAGAGTTATACAGGGTTTAAATAGTAGGGCTTTTGAGTAATTTGCTCACTAGGGCTGCGGGCGCTCTCCATTTGCTATCTACGATGAAGATGGATCCTTCGGGGCTGAATCAACAAAATTGAATATCTATGCACATTTTTTGTTAACCAAAACATCTTTGTGTTTAATATGTTATATGTTGCCCGTCTTATACAGACGTGACCTTTCATTATGCTCTCCCATAATAATAGAACAACAAAATATGTAAGCATAGAACGAAGTAAAGGGCACAAGCCCATATCTGCATCGCTGTGATAACGAAAAAAACACGATTTTAGTTGATGGACGGGCGTAAAACCACTGACTGAAATCAGATAAAAATCTAAACATACCGTATCGCCGTGCTCAAACCCACCGGGCTATTATAATGGCGACCATTTCGTACAACGCTACAAATTCTGGGTTTCAGGCAAGGGTGATGAATGACAATATCATGGCTTGGTACACACCTCCAGAATCATCAGAGGGGAAAGTTCACCACCTAGCCCAATAGTGCGGCATTGCAAATAGTAATGAACGATTTAAGTTGCAAAAGAGACATCGATCTAAGCAAAATATGAAAGCCTGAGATACCTTCGCTGAGGAATTAACATGCAGGATTTAAATTGATTCACAGGGCAAAACTATTGAACCGAACCAATCAAATACATAAACATAGAGATTTGCCTAACACATGTTTTCTTTCTCCTTGGACTTACCACAGTCGATGCTACCAAGTGATTTCACTTTAATGGCACTCGATCTGTCAGTGGAATGTTCTGTTCCATTGGTGTTCACCGGAAAGAGCATAAGCACTGGTTCTCGCGCAGAACCCTGATTTTCAAGTTCCTCTTCATCTTCTAGTATGACTCTCCTCAACTTGATAAACTTATAATATGCAAGCAATAATGAAAATACAATCAAGAGAAGACTGGTCACCACGACTGTAACAATGGCCATTACAGACCAGTGACCTGATTGGGAAGTGTAAACGTTGACAAGCGTGGCGAGAAGCCCAGCGGCTGCATTTAATGCGGCAGGCCTATAATTATGTCAACTGTGAGAATCCATGATGACAGAACTCTAGGGCTGTGCTTACATAAAGATCTTGTTCACAAGCCACGAATAATTGCTTTCGAGTGTTCGGAAAAGCACGATCAATGCAGCGGCTCCACCGACAAGAAATAAGCAGGCAATGACGAGCAAGGGAGGATTTTGAATAGTGCTTAATACAGCTCGTCCAGCAGTATTCTTTTTCAGCACTTCCTCCACCTGGTTTGATTCTTTCAGCGAAGTAAATGTTCCCGGGATTACCAGATATCCTGCAAGTAAAGCCCAATTTGCTATGCTAACAAAGACATTGTATTTCCAATTCATTTGCGCTTCTTCTTTCAACATTATTGTGTAATTTGTATCATGGCTTTGGCTGGCGGAGGTATCTGCGCGTTGTATATTTTCAGTGGAATCAGACTGGGTATGCCCCGTTCGCCTTCTCACAACCTCTGGTATCCCAAACTGCATGGCCCTCGATATGATTCGATGCGTAAAAAGCTGCAATATATCAAAAAGAGAAAGAGGACATGTAACATATTTATATTGGCTTTTTAATCTTCCTGTTGTGGATTAACTGCTCCGCATTTGCTAAGCCTACGGTTTCTCACAAAAAGTTGGGGGGCCAGATCCAATCAACCCATTACTGGAGTAAGAATTCAAAATATTGGAGGTGTCCTTGTAGTTTGGAATTTATCAGTTCACCGAATCATAATACAATCGAATCGAGTGGAGTCTTCGATAGAGGATAAGGAACATCAAGAATAAAGTTGCTGGCCTAATCTACATCACCAGAATGTCACATGTAAAGGATATGAGATTCGCACTCAATATTAATTATTGGGAATCAATTGTTGGACGTAATTGAAGAGAAATGTGAGGGTCAAAGAGTTTATAGCTGCTACAGTATCAAATATTTGATGACAGGCCATTTCCTAAGTAGGCTTAGGTATAAAAGTACATCATATCCGTTGTTTCGCTTACAAGACGTGTTTAAATTTACAATGGCGGCGTGGCTAGACCTGCTCTCAGATGTCACAGGCAGGTCCTTGGTAGACACCGGGCGATTCGAAGAAATTATCCAGGGAATGAGCCATCCCAACTCGCAATACCCTTCATTTATCTACTTTGCTGGCAATGGAAATCGGATCAAGGCCCTTCAAGCTTTGTTTCCTCACAACAATGTCACACGCAAGGGACCGACTGGACTCATTCGTATTCATCTCAGTACTACGACCGCCCACACTGAACATCCTATCATTTTTGCCGAGAGTAACCCTTTCAGCCAAGCTGGGGTGGGTGACACTTGCTTGATTAGATGGTCTGGAGACAAACATAGAAGATATTCTATTTCCCTTGGGGAGTCTCAGCCTCTAGCAGATCTTCAACAAGACGTGATTAGACAAAAGATCTTGCCGTGGACTCAAGTTCTTTGTCTTTTTGTTAATACCATCTCTGAGATGCAAGATGTACAACAACTGCTAGAAGCACCATTTGGAACCATGTCCATCGGAACTCAAAAAATACCCAACTTAATGCGTGTGATAATTATCCTGTCAGGGAACTTTCAGCTTAAAATGCATGACACGGGTGAGGACTTTGATACTCCCGAGGTATGCATGGGGCGACACAAAGTCACAATACTGGATCTCCGAGACAGATCAGAATTATCTCCCACCGTTGCCTTTGAGCCATTACGGAGCCTTATTCTTGATGAAATCCAAGAAATACGAAAAATACAGAAAGAAAAGTGCCTCTCAATCTCAGCCGTGCATCTCAATGCGCTCTGGGACCGAACTCTTCAACTTCAAATGAAAGGACCGAACCCAACCAACCTTGACTGTCTTTTAGTGGCACGAGGGGCTTATATAAGAAATAAAGCAATGGTGAATTGCTTTGTCGAGTTACAAAAGCAAATTGCAAATTCTGCATGCCATGAGAGTGAGCTCTATGAATTTATCGCTTCGGCTCTGCTACTAGACGCCTATCCGCCTGGGATGCATCGTAAGCAATTTCTATATTTACAAGATTACTCCCACTCCATGAGTCTTTCTAAAACCTTTCACCAACGGGGCTGACCAATATAGTCTTTCAGCCACAGATGATTTTCGATGCCCTTTATCGGGACCATTGTCGGGAGGCCTGGGATGAGGAAAACTCGGAAGCATGTTGTGTAAACATTTCAGATCAATTCGTCGAGAGCTTCGCTCAACTGGAACCGAAGACGACCTCAGCAGCCATCCGTCGGGAGTCGCTGGTAAGGTTCTATCGTCAGTGGGGAGGCTTGCAGTCGACGACAACTTGCTTTTCCTGCATGTGTCGACCGCCAGAGCATATGCTACCTTGCAGACATGCAATCTGTGACACTTGCGTTGTACTGTTTGGAACTGCAAGTACTTGTGCAGAATACCATATCGATTTATCCGAATGCCCTATCTGTGATATACCACTCCAACTCACAGTTCGCCAACTTCCTCCAACCAAGCGACCAATTGTGATAAGCCTAGATGGGGGAGGAGTTCGTGGTGTCATTCAGCTAGGGCTCCTACGAGCACTAGAAAGACGCCTTGGAGGCATATCGATAGCACAGATATCTGATTTGTGTATCGGGACAAGTGTTGGTATGTATATTTCTCTGTCATTGTACAAAAATGCATTCCTTGGCTGAAATTATCTGACATTAAGAGCAGGGGCACTTTCAGCGATGGATATAATCTTCAACGAAGTATCCGCAGAGGAAAGTTGCGCTAAATTTCCCGCTTTTGCTCGGATGATTTTTGGATCATCTCCAAAATGTGCACCAAAATCTACAATACCTCGATGTATTAAATGGGTTAAATGCCTGGTAGGCCTTTTAGCCGACTGCCAGTACGACTCAGACAACCTAGCGAATATCCTGCTGAGAGTGGTCGACCCCCAACGTCGAATGTTTGATGTCATGGCGACGAGCTCCACCGGTTGTCGAGTGGCCATTATCACAAGCCGCACTTCTGACGGGAAAGCGTGCGTCTTGGCAAACTATCGTGGGATGGGTCAGCGCAATTTTAATGCGGCATATCAATTCTTAACTCCTCGGACGGAGGATGAGAATCCTCTCTTACGGGACGTGTGAGTAGCGTTGAATTATCATCAGTCCAAAGTATTGTCATTTGTATCAACGCGTGAGACTTGCTGACGATCATTATTCACAGAGCTGAGTGCAGCATCGCCGCTCCCTTGTAAGTGCCCCGGTAGGCTTTTGAAGATAACGAGGGCTAATATCAAGCAGCGTCTTTCGAACGAAATCTCTTCCAGGGTTTGGATTTTTGCAGGATGGTGGAGTTCGTGCCAATAATCCTTTGGCAATTGCACTCAACGAGCTAGCGGTCATCTGGCCCTCAGCCAAAACGCATGATCTACTCTTATCAGTGGGAACAGGGTCATTTTCCTCTACGGCTGAGCCAGTTCATACTGGCCGGAGTTTATTGCGGGATAGTGCTATCCCTCGCATGATTCGAGCAACAATGTCTTCCCCAGCCATGGATGGTGAACAAGGATTTCGTGAGGCACTCAATTTCGTGTCGGATGACAAAAGATCAAAAGTTTTTCGGCTCAACCACGAGCTATCTCAACCGCTTCCTCGGTTGGACGATGTGAGCAGACTAGCGGAGATGTCCGAGATGCATTTTGCCGCTCCGGATGAGCTAGTGAGAGCTATCCTAGCATCTGCCTTTTTCTTCTTTGAACTGGATGAGCTGCCAATCAAAAGACAAGGGGTATACTTCTGTCAAGGGTCGATCTTGTGTTCCCGATCATATGCCAGGGATCTGGTGAAGCAGGTCATGGTCGAATTTCCGGAGGCAAGGTTCCAAACAGCCCGCAGCCATCATCTCGGGGACGTCGGTGAAGATGACGGTTGCCATGTGTGTGGATATTATCGCAAAAAAGTGAGTTTTTCTGTCAATAGTCTCGAAGAAATGACATCAATTGGGATTGCCGGCTCTTCATTCTTTCAAGTAATTGGCGGCTTTCCAAAATCGGCGCAGGAGCTTCTCGAAGATCAACAAGCAAATTCCCATTTTGGTCGTGCCGACCATTTAGTTGCTGCCTGGCCTCCAAAAAGGAATTGCTACTGCCCCCCACAGGTCAAACGCCACGTTCAATTCATAGAACCTGCCTTGGAGCATAAGAAGCGGCGACTATGAATTTCTATCCATTCTATCCCCTCGCTGTGCACTGGCTGGTTCAAGATGTTCATGTGATTAGAAAATCCTAAGGCTATGTCACTGTTGATCATTGTTGTGTACTATCGGTGCTGCTCTTTTGACCTATTAATGAGGTGTATTACTTGTGAATCCAAGAAGGGAAGCTGAAAGCCATGCATTAAAAAAAATTCGATCTTCCACCTGTATCCAAGAAAGAAAGAATTATTTCTCGTCTTGATTTCGATAGTGTTCAAAAGTAACTGGACAGGGGTAGTTAGGCCGATAATGTCGTCCCCGCCAATGCTTCATCAGGCGTGTACATCGGTACGAGCGGAACGTAGACTGAAAAGACCGGAATCTGGGAGTCGGCCGTCCAGATCTTGATCGCTGCCAAATCTGGGTGATCGCATCTCTTGTCGGCGAGAGAAGTTTGAAAGTTTGCGGTTAATGTATATGAAGCTTCGGAAGCGAACCCAGTCGCTCTCCACCGGGAAGGTATGCATCGAAATAAACCGTGAACACCCCACTGCAGGTCTTCGATACTACCGTTTGGTTTGAACTACAGAACTGAACATCCTCCATGCCTGGAGGCAGACAGTCTATGTTTCCGTAACTCGAATACTGGATTGTAAAACTGTCTAATCTCTTCATGCATAGAAAGAACCCCATAATTATAGGCTTTTCCTTCTCCCCCTGGAATCTCTCAACTGATTAATTTGTAATAGAAACAGAGTGGTAGAATCAAAAAGGAGCTGAATAAGCGGTGATAGCACTGAGTGCTGGATTCTCCCGTATTCTATTGGCTGAATGCAGCCTGAATTGAAATGACTTCCTATGCTACAACAAACTGGCGCGGTTGTATACGGGGTTTGGTGGTGTAGACGGCAAACTGCATCGACAGCGCTAATCTCGATTCCGCGGGACTTCGAAGTTCTTGGCATGCGAGAAAGACATGGTGATTCGTAATACATAAAGCATGCCGAATTAGGGTTAGCGTTGAAAGTTCCATGTTAAATACTGAGAATTAACCTGGATTCTCAACAGCTTCTGGTAAAGTAACTGGAAGTCAAATATCGTTTTATGTTTTACAGTTGAACAGCGCTCCTTAACAACTGTAACCGTTTTGACCGCGACGTTGGCTGTGCATGCACGCTTACCTGTTGCCCCATATGAACCGTGGGGCCCTGTTTGTTTGGCCTGTTAGGCCAAAGGTTTGCTTGGTTGAACGTTTTTATTATTTTGAATTTGACAACGGTTGTCCGCTAGAGAAGATACGGGATCGGACATTGATACCGATTAATCGGAAAGCTTGCAGGTTTCCTGTCAAATTGAAGAACTATTATCTTTTTCCTTAGCTGGAGAACAATCAACTTTGGATCCTTTTAATATTTTCCGTGATAATGCTCTAGTTTCTAACTTACAACAAAAAGGTCTATGTCAGAGGTATAGGACTCTACAAGCCCGTTGGCCAGAAGAGTAACGATCTACCGGTGGTTATAATCTAAATTCGAGAATTATATGTAGGAATATCAGATATTTACGAAGTAAGATTGTTTATCATTGGCTCATTACTTTGAGAGCAGTGTCAATGTACTGCTTTCAAAGTGATTTTTATTTTCTGTTTCTGGGTTCGCTTCTACCTTTTCATAAAATATCAATCCTAAATGTCTCCGAACAGACCGCAATTAATCAAACGCAAACTGCGATAGGTCTCGGCAGAATCAATGGACAAAGAAAGGAGAGACCAGCCTTGCTCATTGCACAGGTTGGGCCGGTCAGGCCTGGGGATCTCTAGAATGTTGCAAATGCCGTCGACGCAGGAGGGGCAATCTTCAATAACTGCTTCGGAGAGGGCATCATTAGGCACAAACCTGGGGCTACCGGGAGGCTCGATGGCTGTGATTTGAACATCGCTCATATCTTCCAGTGCTGTTGCAGCGCTAGGAAATGTTTTAATCCTCTTAATCTGCATGATAATCCAGCCCTCCACAAATTCGTTAGTGGCTTTGTTAGTTCTTCGCGGGGCATTTAGATCGTGAATTTGTTTGTGGGTTAGCCTGTTGGGCTTGTCTCCGACATTACGGAGTATCATTTCAACAATCTCCAAGGGAAAATTTGTGCCAAGGTCACCAAGGGCCAGTGCGCGGGAAGCCATTTTCGCTGTTGATGGCTTAGTCCTTTCTGTAAGAAAGCGTGGTGTCAAGAGTCAAAAAGAGCAATATGGTCAGTGTTGGTGGCGGCTTCCTCCGTGGGTGGAGCCGTTTATATATCTTTGACCTGGGCATGTTGTTTGATGGACCTCTAGAGAGGGAACATTGAGTACAATGAGGATAAGGCATAAAAGAACTGAGAAGAGACAAAGGATTGACAATGCATGTATGTGCGATGTCGTTGGATGGAACTGATTCTATGGAAGGGAAACTTAGCACAAAGTAGATTACAATTCTTCGGTATCATGACTTGAATGAAATTATAAAGGATACAAAGAAGGATTTCTTTGCCGGTATCTAGACACACACGAGGTGGTCTATCAGTCAACATTTTTGGTCTTTGCGCGATTTTGGAGGATGTATTGGCGCGAGGAGTCGAGCCGTGAATTCCGTTGTGAGATTAGGCGCCAAATGACAATCGTATGTTGTCGTCGTGGGACAAAGATGAATACAAGAATACTTCGATCGAAGACGGAAATATTGGTTTCCGCCGGGCGAAGGCAGAAGCTGACATAACCCAAATTTGCGTCCACGAGTCCTACGGTCCACGGGGTATCTTACTTATTACTTCGCTCGTTCGAGAGCGGACCTTCTTGAGATTGATTGCCTTATAATTCGCGTATAACTAGGGGCGATGAAAGGCGGAAGAGAAGCAGGAAAGCTGCAAAAATTTGCAGCGGCGAGGGATGAGACTTTATAGAAACATGCACGGGAATAGTAAAGAACAGGAGCACGCTACACCGGATTCCGTAATTCACCACCACCGGAGAATCCTCTTGAAGAGACAATCAGTCACAGTAGGGCACGCTGAGGAGCACAGGGGCACCATAAAGGCCGCTTGGACTCAAGCTGAGTTCACCCATCCCCGTGGGACAGAAGCAGAACTAGTTGCAACAGTGCTGGTACTCTCAGTGTCATTCCAGCTGTAGGTTGGCGCAACACAGTAAACACTTCCAGCCTTCAAGCTATCTGAGCATTTTCCCGGGTCCAAAGAAGGGTTTACCATCGTGAAGACCGCATGTGTGATACTATACTGACCACATATACCCACACAACTATCTCCACTCTTGGCCTCGTACCATTTGCCACAATTCCTTGTTGTTCCTGTCGCCAGTGTCGCATTTGCAGGTGGCTCGACCTTGCTATACACATATCCATTCGATTCAGAGGGAGCAACGCCACCACCAGTGCTGCTTCCATTGTGCATGCCGCCCTGTGGAGAGAGACAAATGGCTGTACCGTAGATCTTGCTTGCTGGCTGTAGATTGTCGCAGTCGTATGAGACCCATGGGTTGTATTTGCGTACATCACGATCTTTCAGGGAGTACGCGTACTCGATATCTGAACAATTGTCGCTGGGTTGGATGGAATATGTCTTCTCACAGGCTAGGGGAAGGCAGAATTTGAGTCCCGAAGAGAGGGAACTGCAGTCAAGGATCTGATATTGATTTCCCATGTACAATGCCGCTGAAGAAATGCTCGTGTCTTCGGCGATCGATGTGCAAGTGTCGCCGTCCACGGTGGTGTAGAAATTATCCGATCCGCAGAATTCAGTTTCCTTTTCTGGGGTATTGCGAGGGATTTCCAGGACTGTGGTCGGGGCATTCAATCCGCAACGCTTATTGATTGCTTGCAGGACCGTCTGATAGTAGTCGTCGTACGCAGAGTAAGGGGTACGTTGCATCATTTGAAGGCGTTCGGTATAGCAGTAAGAGCATAGCTCGTTATCAGGCATTGCTGCAGTATTAGGGACCAAGGTGAAATCATCAATGACATCTGTCAACACCGGTTAGATGAGTTGAGTAATAATTAGAGGTGTTTAACGTACCATTGCAATACTTCCCTGAGCTCTTATCCTTGCTGCATGTTTCGTTATAAGCAGCCCAAATGCGACCACCGAAAATCTCCGCAGGCGTTCCACTGATGTTGTATCCGGCACAGTTAAGTTGCACCGATTGATACCATGCCTGGAGGTTCTGACCACAAGTCGCATCACAAACCGACTCAGTCAGGGTATCGTTATTCAGAGAACCGTGATATTTGGCGGACATCATTGAGTTCAAGACTGGGTCGCATTTGATTCGTTCCGTCATCGCCGACTGGCAGCCGATTGGAAGATCAAGAGGTTCCAGTGTGGAGGTGCTGTAGATACTAAACCCGTCGAATTCTCTCAGGCCCGCGGTTTGATTTGCACCACCAAGCCAAGCAAGAATAGACGAGAGAAGACCATTCATGTTGTCCTTGGCATAAGTGGGTGTTCCCTTGTAAGGTGTGATCATCTCCACAATAGCCCTAGTGCAAAGATTATACACCCAAACATCGGTACTTTGTTCAACCCCGAAAGCCCGTTGCTGACAGTCATTCGTTTCGAGGCAGTCTTGGGAGTAATCCGAAAACCAGCTGTAGATACCAGTGCCAAGCACCCAAATAGAGGAGGACTCGACGATGCGAACACCCCAAGATACCGCACACTTGGTTGAATCACTCTTGCAATCATCAAAATTCGGGTCATTGACAAACATGCCTGGTGTGAAGGGGACTGGGGCTTCCGGCGAGGGTTGGTAATAAGGCGATTCTGTCTGAATCATTCCCATGAGAATATTCTGCGCCCCCGAAAGCTGGTACTGGTAGAGAGTACTGTGTTCCGATGCAGTACCATAAAGCCATGCCAGTTGACTCTCGATCAGAATACCACGGGCTGCGTAAACATCAATCTGATCTTGGGAAGAGACGTCAAGGTCATGGTCAGCCACCCAGACCCAGATGTTCTCCAGGTAGGCCGTGGAAGATGAAGTCAGATGAAGCAAAAGAGATGCAGCAATACAATCTTCATTGACACTTCCCGTGTTCTTTGGACACTGTTTGTTCTGGAGGTTCGATCCTACAGCACCGCCAATGCGGATGTGAGAATCCCACATAGCAGCCGATCCCTTCACTGATTGCTCAACATTCCACTCTACAAGAATCGCACCCGCCGTAGGGCCAGAGACTGTGAAAAGTAGATCTTGAATTTCCACTATGCCAACGTCACCGGAAGCACCGACCCTAACGGCAACTCGGGGATCCTCCGCATCTGCAAAATTAGTACCAGTTGCCATGATCTGAGACCATGCCTGACCCATAATGCGTGATCCAACAGGTACATGCAATGTATCATGAATCATGTAAACACCGTGTGGAATGTATACAATAGACGAAAGATTCGCAGCATAAGACAAAGCGTAATTGAGAATCGCAGTGTCATCCGTAGTCCCGTCGCCCTTGGCTCCAAGGTTCTTAACATTGACAATTTGGTCGGCTGCGAGAGTCTCGTATTGAGGTCGACGACGAGTGAAGAGGTTAGAGTCAACATAGGCTTGTGTCCCTAGTAGCTGAGTCGGTCGCAAAATAGCAGGGATATCCTCACCATCAGCAAAGGATCCAACTCCAGATGCATCGCTGACCATTCCGAAACCCCATGAAGCTTTGCGGACCTCATCACCACCAGCAAGAAGAATTTTATTCTGAACGGAATCAATGATTGCGGTCTTGACGTTGAAGAATCCGACATTTTGCAACAACAGAGAAGTCGAATTTTCCGCATGAAGTGAGGTTATGATTCCATTCGGGGTATTGGCGATGATGGCATCAGTCAAGATGAGAGATCCAACACCTTGGCCCGTACTCGAAGGTCCTCCGGCCTATCTAGATTAGCATGACTTGCCAAATGCCATTCAGCTATTTTGTCTATGACTCACTCCACCCACAATTGTGAGTCCATTTGTGCAAGATTCAATAACGTAGTCCTGCATGGTCCACGCCCAATCCCAATGAACCTGAAGAGCGGTGTTGCAGTTCACGAAGGTGAGCTGACTTGAAGTGAACTGTTGGTTACCAAAGTAAGCACTATGCATAATTAATTAGACCCCATTGATATTCAAACTGCACAAGAATGTCATTACCCAAAGTTGCCTCCCACAAACGTAAGGTCAGCTAGAAAGCCTCCAGATCCATTCTCCATGTAGATTCCTTGTTGCGTGTTCGACGGAACATCTGAATTGTATACCATGTAAAATTCTATGTTTTCCAGCGACGTCCCTTGCGCAACTTGCCAGTGGATAGCACAGATGTATGCCGAGGGGTCAGTTGGTCTGATGTCGATTTTGAAGTTTCTAACGCTGCGCAAGAAGTTGTTTTGATTAATATACCACTCTTCATTGTTACTGACATAGACATCGGAGGTAATGACGCCCAGGCCAACGAAGCTGGATGCAGCCAGGATGGTAGGAACTTCGAGGGGCTGGTGGCTGTCAGTGATTAAACAGCACAAGCATGCAGAACAATCGCTCAGCAGCATTGCTCGAAGAAACTTACATCACCCAAAAACTCAGTATTATAGTACTGAATAATTGGCGAGCTAACCAGGTATGTTCCGGCAGGAAACCAGACTGTCGCAGGGTAGATAGTACTTGATCCACAGCCGAGGCCGCAGCGTCCACCGTCCGAGATAGCCTTGTTGATGGCCTCTGTATCGTCTGTGACACCATCTCCGACGGCTCCATACTCGCGAACATCTCTCCATACCTATTTTGCGTCAAACTTAAGGAAATTAATGAGAGGGGAAGAGGGCGGGTACTTTATAACCAGCTGGAGCAAATGGACTTTTTCCATTTTGTTCCATCGTAGCCATCCAGTACTTCGAAGTACTAGCTCGCTTTTGGATTGCTCCATGGGTTGTATCATTGCCAAACACGATGTCATCGGTAGTACCGGTCGATAAAAAGTCACTCAGACCATTCGAATGTACCAAGGCCTGGCTTGGGGCATTGGTATCCCTGCGACCCTTTCCGTACTTATTGCGAATCTGGGAAGCCACGAGACTGTGATTTCCAGTCGGCTTGTTTGGAGTTGACTCGGCGACAATTCGAGCTGCGCGGGCCAGCTCAGTCGGGATTGAATATGCCTT